AAAAAGAAGCCTTTGCAAGTGACAGAATCTCGGTATTGCAAAATCTGCGGCTCTAACCGCTTGAGCTCCCTCTCGACCGGAAACTCCGACACCAACGTCGGCAGTGACGATCATTCCCACATCGTTGGCACCATCACCAATAGCAAGCATCGTACCACTCTTGTGGTACTTCTGGGCCCACGCCACCACATCCGCCTTCTGGGCCGGGGAAACCCGACAAGCAATAACTGTGCCACACTTGGTCAAACCAACCGAGAAGAACTGCTCACGGAGATCATCATCCTTGAGGATCGTCGTGAGACAATCGCCCAAAATAGTCAATGACACCGTTCGAGGGGGTGCTCCCCTATCAGAGATGTCCTGAAGCTTCTCCAGAATGTCCTTCTCGTCCATGTCGGGGTCCTGGATCACAAAGTTCTCCCCATCGTGCGCTATCAGATTGCTTGACCGTCCAATGTTGATGGCTGTCTCCACCTTGTCACCAGTGAGGATCCACATGTTCACACCAGCAGCACGGATATCAGAAATAGTCTCAGGAACATGATCCTGTAGTTTATCTTCAATACCAGTAGCACCAACAATAGTGATGCCCATCTCAGCGTCGGCGATCAGTTCCTCGAGAGCATCCGCATCTCCCGTTGCACGCGCCTTACCGTAGCGTTCGCGCCAACTATCAAGGGGGAAATCAGTCAAGTCACGAATGCCCAAAACCAGAGTCCGAAGACCCTGAGTAGCAAGGCCCAAAAGATAAGCAGTTAAACCATTAGAATCAGTCTCAGGAGTAGCAACCTCCAACATAGTAGAATCAGCTCCCTTCACGAGAAGCATGACCTTGCCAGTAGTAGGACTGCGGACCATGACACTCATGCGCTTGCGTACATTGTCGAACTCGAGGACCTCCAGAACATCATAGGTAATAAAGTCAGTGTCAACAGTAGCACCACCGTCACGACCAATGAGGTTCTTAGCCCAATCGTCCGTAAACTTCATGACAACTTTATGGGCACTTGGTCTCCCCCAAAACTCGAAGCCGAGTTCGCGTGCTGCCGCCACCAGCGCCATCTCATCCGGAGACGATGCATCATAGAGATCCTCGCTATCATCACCAGGCTTGGGATCATCTATCGCCCCTCCGCAGCAGCTCGAGGAAGAGCCACCAGTAGTTTCAGTCAAGGACACAGTATCAAGCTTACCCGCCACCACAGAGCTCTGACGTGTGTCAGCCTCCGATTCAGACTCGTCCCGTTGCTGCCGAAGTACAGAATGACAGAGCCCCAGAACGAGTAGAGACCGCCTCAGATTAGGCTCATCTTTACCAGCCGACACAGCCTTGATGCCCCTTGAGGGGAAGCTGTGGCTCACGTGTGTATCAGAAGGTCGCAAAGGATAGGGGTTCGGGCCAAACTGACGATTCAAGTCACCCATGATACCGATCGTGTTGATGAGCATGCAGTTCTCAGTAAGCGTGCCGGTCTTATCCGAAAACACATGGGTGACGCATCCCAGATCGTCAGCCGTTCCAGCGGAGTTGGTTGACGCCTTCACATCGCCATAAACCATCTGTCTATCTCGAGAAATGATATAACCCTGTACGATCTTAACGATCTCCAGAGTGGTCAGCAGAGATATGGGGACGAAGAGAGTGAATTGAAGTACGAGCCGACCAAAGACTTCAATCACTTCACGAATCTTCGACCCAATAGTTTCTTCTGGGCGTTCCAAATACCAGTTATCCTGCCAGAGATTACTCCATAGAGCATAGGAGACCGCTGATATCACACAGAAGAACATTTGCAGTGCGAACAGCTGCAAAATATGTGTATTATACATCTTCATCAGCTTCGACATTTTATACCTTCCTGAGGCGGAGGCCGCAGAGTTCACCATCAACCTGGTGTTGTGACCGGTGTATACTACAACCCCCCAGGCATACTTCGTCGTCCTAATACTCGACCCACGAAGAACCAGTTGGTCTGCCGAAAGTGCCAGAGGAGCCGCATTGTTGAGGACGATCGACCCAGTGAAAGAATAGAGCGACGCAGTCGGCTGTTCGTAGGTGATACGAACACAGAGATGATCGTCAACACGGTCCGATGACGCGGCATTCATCTTCCGAACATCCAACAACTGCGTTTCCTCAAGACAGACCTTAGCCTTGAGGTTAGTCTCACCATCGAGGTCCTTGGTTTCGACATACACAGTGCCAGTACCATCAGAGCTTGATAGCAAGACTATATCAGCAGGAGCTCCATCACCCTTCCGAAGCCTGATCACATCACCAACGACCAAACTTGACCACGGCACTTTCTCCAACTCTCCAGTAGCAGCATTCAACCTTACCGTCATTCTCGAATTCTCAACAGCATCGGACCTATGCCTCCGATAGTCTTCAATAGCATCCTTCAAAGCCGTTACACCCAACACCAATGCTAGAGGTGTGAGCATAGTCGGCTTACCATTAGAATCAGAGATTGCCGGGACTAGCTGCAACATTGCCATGCACAGGAAGTAGACGTTGGAGAAGACGTGGAACTGGTACCACAAGTTCTTCGGCAGAAACGTAAGAAAAGTATATTTGCTGGTCATAATAGAGTTGGACCAGCCTTGGACACATTTACTGCACAGTTTAGGTACATTAACCGCACATATAAGCTGGGCATCCCGCGGCACTTCATCCTTCTGATTGTGGCGTAAACACTTCGGAATTAACCGCTTTAGCCACGCCTGATACTTCGGCTCTTTACATGAGCCCATCTCAGGCATCTATAGAACGATCGAATAAAACTGCAATGGAAAAAATTATTATACTCAACCACTCAACTCGACATAGGAACGCTTCAAATTGCCCGAATATTACGTAACTGTACAGAGAACTATACTTGAGGAAATTGACATTATTGTTGCCCTAGTCAAGTTCCCTTCAACTCCTCCGGACCATTAACCAAAGCACCTTCACCACCACACTCCTCACTTTCCTCATCTTCATAGATAGTGTCAAAAATGAAGCTCCTAGTAGAACTAGCAGGATGCCGACTCCGACCCACTGTAGAGCTACATCTGTCTACGAGGCCCAACAACTGATCTCGCGATCGTTCACACAATATGCACGTATCAGCCTTGTCGAAGTTAACACAGCGACACTCCGAACACTCCCATTGCACCGATAAGCCATCGAGGAAATGGGCGGCACTAGCTTGCTTCGGCGACCCTGGTTCTGATCGATTATCCCGGAGGCGAAGACCAATCAAATGCTGTTGGCCAGCTTGTAGCCACAACGAGTACTTGGAAGTCATATACACGTCCGCATCGAAATTCCGACACCCCTCCTCAGCTGCCGTACGGAAAGTCGCATGGAACAGTGTTGTCGATCTCGACGCCATCGACTTAGCCGCATAGGCCTCGAACCGTGCACGCTCAGTCTCGTCCTCCACAAAGTCCAGCAGGGATTTACCGCACATGGGTGTGAGGAAAACGTAGTCCAATCTAGGGTCAGAATCACCAACAACACGCAAGTCGTTGTCAACCCAAATAGTAGCATCAAAGCTCGCCCGTAGCAAATCGTGCATGTGGGACTTGTAACTGTCGGCCTCGCGTTCCGCCACAATCCTTGCGATAGTCTCCAGATGGACCGGAGTGAGCACTGCTAATACGATAGCACAGCTACACCAATACGCCGATATGTATTCCTGATGGATGGTGTCGAGAACAGGCAACTGAGTAATTGATATGATCGAGATTATGGCATTCTTGAGGATACATAGTACGATGGTGACCCAATAAGAGTAGCTAGTGAATCCTGTGACGAGGAAGAGGAAAATATTACTACAAAAGCCGTATGGGCTACTCAAAATCGACACAGTATGGTATAGATATATAAGCTGGATAACATGTAGGCCAATGCCAAAGATTACAAGTTCTTGTGCAGTTAAAGCAGAGTCACCCGGTCTCTTAGGCTTGGTGCCTATGTATGGTGCAAGCCACCCATCGACAATAGGGCGAACGAATATAAGGACGAACACACTCTTATCGCAGTTGGCGAACCAGTATAGGACGAATAAGAAGGGGGGTAGGAGCCAACTCAGGGCTCTATACAATATAACAGCCCTGCGCTCACAGGTAGACCGTAATTCTGATGCAATGTGTTGCACAGCTTCAGGGACCAAAGGGATATCCCTCTCGATAAAGGGCATCACCCTTTGAAGCGTATCTATGCGCCATAACGATGCTCTGTCCAGAGTCGTGGAGAGATTCATTCCTACGTAAACTATTCGAAGAAATACTCGAATGCTTAGTGGCATCATCAATCCTCGATCGGATTCTCGAACTAGACTCTAGTCTTTCTGCAAAATTCGCCTTGTAGTTCAATTCGCACAAGTACGGAAAGATTTTTTTCGAGAACAGTTCGTCTAATATTAGTAAAGACTCCGTGACAGTCGCAATGGATCAAGCCACGAAGAGCTTTTCAAAGTGACACAAAAAACTTGCTTCGCTCCGCCTTTTTCCATCGCGTGCGCCTCGTTCTTTCAAGCCTTTCCCATCAGCACTCTCGAAGACTCCTCCTTCATGTCAATGGAAACCGAAGGCGGTTCTGAACCACCGCAGGTAGAGGAGCAGCCGCAAGGAGAGCTCTCTTATGCGGTCTTAGACTACTCTATAAACTGGAGTGACTTCTGCGAGAAGCATGGTATAGGTAATACGGGGTTCGCAGGCCCGTCTAAATATTCTAATGTGATGCCCCCTTGCCATTCGCATGACTAGGGATTTCGGAAGGTGTGGTATCGGCTTTTGTTGGGCAGATCGTCGCATATCGAAGGCTTTGAATAAGCTACAGTTCGAGAGGCCGGCGCTCGTGCAGTCGAGAGCCATCCCTCCCGTGCTGGAGAGTAAAGACGTCTTAGTCAAGGCTAGAACAGGGTAGTACTTCTGGGTCCTCGTCGGCATCTCTATTTCGGTTGTGATTGGGCGCCAATCGTGATCTAGGTGCGGTAAAACTATAGCCTACGTGGTACCTTTACTACAGCAGCTTCTCGCTACAGCGCCCAAGAGTGGGTCCAGGCACCCACTGACGGCCTTCGTATTGGTACCTACTAAGGAACTCTGCGTGCAGGTAGAGCTCTCATCGCAATAGTGCCGACTTTAAGGAGTGTCCTTGCAGGTGAATCAAGTGGTGAACTCGCTCTTGCACTACGCCTTCGACGTTATCTCATGTGATATGCACACTACGACGCATCCTTACCGGAAGGCCCTGCCCAGCATTTTGGTGTGCACTCCTGCTGCTTGCCTCTCTGTGTTGAAGTCTCGGAAGGAACTTGGTCCAACGATCAAACATCTTGTGATCGACGAAGCTGACCTTATGCTGTCCTATGGGTACGAAGAAGACATCAAAGGCGTGTTGGGATACCTCGATCGTTACCAATGTATGTTACTAAGTGCCACCCTAAACGATGATGTGGAGACCCTAAAGGGCCTTTGCTTGCACAAGCCGGTTATAGTCAAGTTAGAGGAGGCTGAGAGCGGCGCTGCTGCTGGCGAGGGCCATTTGAAGCAGTTCTACCTTCCCCTTAGACCCGACGAGAAGTACCTTGTTGTTTATGGGCTGTTAAAATTGAAGCTTCTGGTGGGCAAGACGCTCATATTCGCCAAGGATATCGACAGTGCTTATCGCTACAAGCTGCTGTTGGATAAGTTCTCAATGGGAAGTGTTGCCGTGCTGAACTACGAGTTGCCCTTCTTGAGTCGAAACCAAATCATCGAGTCCTTCAACATGAACGCGATTGACGTTCTCATTGCAACAAACCAGGCCGTTTCGGGATCGGGCGCCGAGGAGCAAGCTATACACAGGTGAGGGTTGTGAGGGAACTGACAGTTGGGGGAAGGAACTGTGCTGCTTTGCAGAGGGCTTGACTTCGTTGACGTGAAGGCTGTTCTCAATGCTGATATGCCCGACACCGCTCGAGAGTATGTTCATCGCGTTGGTAGAACGGCTAGAGGTGAGCTACCGTAAATAGTATATGTTTCTGTGTCGAGTTAGCGTGCTGTATCAGGTGGTGCTAATGGTACTGCTCTCACTCTGGTTGATGATGTGGAGCAATGGCAGGAAGTACTATAGCGTTTTCATTTGTGGGGAAATGAGAAATATAGTTGAATATAGTAGACGTTCGTTATGAGCTCTTATTCTCCATTGTTTCTCCTGATTGCTGTATATGTTGATCTAGGTCCTAGCCGAGATCGAGGAAGCTGGAGTTGAGATTGAGGCACTACCGTTGGACATTTCGGAACTGAACAGCTTGAAGTACCGCGTCGAGGACGTGTCGCATTCGATCACGAAGAAGGTCGTGACGCCAGCATAGGATGGGGTTGTTACTGGGTGGTTTCAGGCGGTTGCTAGCCTGCGGCAATCAGAGCTGATGAGAGAGGTACTGCACTCGGATAAGATGAAGCAACAGCTGCAGGAGAATACTGAGGATGCCAAGGCGCTTCGGAAGAGTTTGAGACAAAACAATGCGAAGGTATGAGGAGGTCTGGGAAGGCGTCACTATCGGTATCATTTTAGTGGAATCGATTTCTTAATGCAGAGTTATGAATGTGTTCATTTGGTGATTGTGTCTGCGTGCAGGTTGCTGGGTCGACTATCAAGAAGAGTTTGAAGGATCTCCCTGAGTACCTTGTACCGCAGAGTTTTCTCAACTCTTTAGATGAGGATGGTGATGCGTCCAATCCAGTCAAGTTGGCGGCTCTGGGCAAGGGGAATAGCACAGATGGGAAGAAGGGGAAAGGTGAGGTCTGAGGGGGAACTGGAGGTGAGATCTTTTCAATAGGTATGAAGCGAAAGTTATCATCCGATCCGTTGAAGACCTTTGAGTCGACCAGGAAGCGTCTGTTAACTGGAAGCATGCGAGATCGGATGCTACGGAAGGAGCCTTCTAATGGTGGGTTCGCTTCTAGTTCGACCCGTTGTGGTATACGTGCGTTATGTATCTCAGTTGGTGTGAACGTTGAATCGTTGGCGCCTATTTCTGGTCGGAAGCTGTGGAAGATCCGTCATCGCAAGCATGTTGGTGGTCACAGTGATCGTGCTGGTCAACCTAAGGTCAATTCCTTGGCTATGAAGAAGCGTCGGAAGAAGTTCCAACTAGGAGGGAGGAGTTGAATAAGACCAATATACGCTTATATGCTTCGCTACTCAAACCACGTCAGTTACTTGTTTCATCGTTACCTCTTCGGTTGATGAGGGCGGGTCTAGTTAGTTAATTCGGGCGTGCGCTTTTTTTGTGAGCGGAGCGATGTTTTGTGGCGTGCAGGTTGCGTTAGCTATATCAGGGACCAGTCGATCTTTTTAAGCTGATTCCAACGGGAAGGGATATCTGATAGATACGTTGAGAGGATGGAGAATTTTTGCGAAGGTGATTAAGTTATGTAGTTCAATTCACTCGAGCTCAGTCGTTGTGTCGTATGTCCCTTCCTGTAGCACTATGTGGTGTGAAAACTGTGTGCTATCATGGCTGGAAATCGCCAGAATTGCATCGTTGCCAACGATCATTAACAGTAGTGTGATTATTAAATAATGTCGTCATCGTCTGTTCTGGGAGAGTCGCCCTGTAAGCTGGGCTCTGATCTTAACTCGCCTTCTGCTACACTGATGAGGAGATCAGCTACGGAGCCGTCAAGCAGACCATCTCGGGCACATGGCAGCAATAAGGGAAGGGGTCGTGTAGGGGGAAGCGACAATAAAAAGTTGCGTCCCGTCGACCTAAGCAAACACCTGTTGAAGACTAAGGTAATATCTATGGAAGAACTTGGGAATATGAAAATTGAGCTCTTCTGTGTAGGTATGTAGTCTCTATCTGGAAGGACGTTGTCATTATGGTTCCAAGTGTTTCTTTGCTCACTCGACCTCGGAGTTGCAACAACAACCGAATCTTAAGAAGACTAGTTTGTGCAGACTGTATAGGCAAGGTAGTTGTCAAATCAGCGGCAGTGTCGGAGCTACTGAGGTATCTGATTTCAGGTAAGTGCAATAAAGGAGCTGCATGCACCTACGCTCATTCGGCTGCTGAACTGAGGGCTACCGAGAAAACTGTCATGTGCATATGGTGGTTGAGTGGTCACTGTAGTCATGGATCTAAATGCCGGTAAGCACTATGGCTTTCTATAGCGGTGTCTCAACGGCGTTGTTGTTCTCAGCTTTGCTCATGGAGAGGCTGAGTTGAGATCGCCGCCCAAGTCGGACTCAACCGTCTCGTCCATTGCAGAGAGTAGTCCACGTTCCGAGGTATCGCAGTTTGACAACCGCATGACGGAAAGTCACAGCTCTAACACCTTGGCGTCATCTCCGTATGGCTTTGAGCACGCCGCCACTTTCAACTGGAGTAAAGCTTCCGACCCTGTTGAAGAGGAACTGTGCGAGACGGACGAGTTTGGGACCTCGCCGGCTAACTTGTTGCCCTCTGCCTTGACTCACGATATCATTGATTCGGATCCTGAGGAAGAGCAGGCTGAACTTGAGAGGAACTTTCCAAGGTCACCCTTTGAGATGGTTCGAGGTGCACCGACGGTTGCCGCACTTCCCTCACCGGCCCCGCCTGGAGAGCTCCCTCAGTGTATTGGTTGCCAGAATACCGTCTCGAATGTTGGTGATGTGTTATGCCAGAGATGTTTGGCTGGTTGCTGTGCTGCTATCACGAGTGGTGATAGTAACAGCTTTTTGATCTCTATGTAGATATTTGTCCCTAGGGAGTCTCGCAGATTCACGTCCGAGTTGGCGTGTTCACATTCGAGACTCCAACATGGTTTCGATAGTCGTGATTCTCATAAGTTTGTCGATGCTTTGTCCCTACAAGAGCGAACACAGCAATTGCTTTCATTGCTGACTACTGCTGTTGTTTGCTGCACACATGGCTGCTACGGCGACCGGTTACTTACGGGTTTTGACTATGATGCTTAGGTGTCGTCCTGGTCGTCAGGCTATAGTGTGCAACTTCATCTCATCTGGTTATCCCTTTCTACTATGGTGTAGTAGTCTACTATTCTTCTTCCCAGGTTTACTAACGATTAGTTTTCCATTGGTGTATACTTGCTGTATATCATTCGACTTACCCTCAAACGCGGCAGTCTACTGAGTATCCCTTATCGGCTGTGCGTTTCAACCTCGGATCACGTCACATGAGCTCTCCTGTGCTCTCAGTTTTGTCTGTAGACTGTAGGAAGTTTTTGTTGACATTTGGGTAGTTGAAATAGTAGTAGTCTATGGTAGAAAGTTTGTGTCTGGACTTATGCTTTTTTGTACAAAAGTAGAAGTATTATGGTATGGCCGTGTAGCTTGGTGGCCTTGTAGCTCTTTGGTCTCCGCATATCTCATCTCAGCTGCGTCGTTTTGGCACCCATTGTATACCTAGACTTCTTCCCTGATACTTCATGGATTTGTGAGCGCAGCTGTGTGGGAAGCAGGCCAGCATGAGAGCTGGGTTTGGGGCCTTTTCCGTAGGGCGAAACATTGATCATCTTGTCATCCGTATATTGTTACCACTCGTTTGTCTATTCTTCTGTGAACCTACTATTTTCTTTGTAACAGTGCATTGATATTGTTGTTATGCTATCCCTTGTGGAGGATGGTGATGGTGTATGCAACGATAAGCGATGCCTTGGCTTGTCACCCCTTATGTTTCCCCTACAATTGTTGTATCTAAATGCTACATCTCACAATGTTGGCATCGTAATAGAGATCAACCAGCTGTGTAGTATTCAGCATGGTCCGTTATCCCCACCTTGGTGACCAGGCGGTTGTGATGTTTTTCGGGAAGCCGTCCTTCATCACTTATTAGGATTATTGTCTCTCCTCTTACCACCTCTCGTTATGCTGTGTCGATGGAAACGTGGTCATATGAGCAGACCTACTCGGCCGTGTGAAGTGGTGCTATGTCAACCTCCTATATGCGTACCTCCACTGCTGGGTATAGTCGGACTTGCTTGGAAACTGCACTGTTGTTGTTGTATCTCATTTTGGGACTGCTGGTTCGAAGTCCTCTAAAAACTAATCATCTTACTATGTGGCGAGCTGCTGTCTCGCCACTCCTATACTATGCGATCCCTAGACTTATTGTATGCTATCAGTGGTCTAAAACAACATGCGCCACAAATGGCCAGGCCTATCGCCCCACTGGTAGAAGTAGTTAATCAAGCCCCTTATCCTCTTAGTTCGAATCGAGGAGGCATCAGCAGAAGTTGTCTTTGTGATGGTACAGATGACTTTCTGTGGTAAATGGCCAAGGGCGTATGCCCTCATACAGACCACAGGCCTGTACTTCATGGGCTGTTGGTTCACGATGCTCTCCTACTGCTTCGGTACTATCGTTTTGTCCCGTAGTCTCGCCGTGTGCTGTGTTCAGTGTATCCAATATGCGGTGTCGAGTAGTTTTTTATATTCCGTATGGCCAGCAGAAGATCATGCTCCACCTCGGGCAGTAGCACTACGGAGGTATATTCGTTTTGATAACTAACATCAGTTTACCATTTCAGAGTTCCCCACGTGAGGGTGTAGTGCGGCCTCCCAAGGGATCGAAGAGAAAACGCAACGGGAAGCTGTGCCAGCATCCAGGTGAGAAAGTCAGGCATGGTTATAATGAGTAGCATACTTTGCTGTCGGATGAATGCTCAAGTTTTCGAAGTCTGTAACAGAAGTGAACCATACAAAAAGTGACTGATCAAAGACTTTGTCATATACTCGGCGAAGCCGAAATGCTGTATAGTGTGGAAGGGGGTCGTGATTTCACGACTACTCCAGTCTTGCATTTGACCTCTGCCCTGTTTTCGGTTTCTTGTGTGATGCTACTCACAGCAACGTACCGATTAGAGTTCGCTACAGGTGGTTGTACTCGTTTTGCCCAAGGAGCAACGAATCTCTGTATCGGCCACGGTGGGGGCAGGCGGTGCCAGTTCCCAGGTTGCCCTAGGTCAGCAGTAGGCCGCAGTAACAAGTGTGTTACTCATGGTGGAGGACGTCGCTGCGAATTCACTGGTTGTTCGAAGAGTGCCAGAGGTGCGAACGGCTATTCGAGTATCATCACAACTGCTGTTTACATGTTGCCAGGAAGCACCGGTTTCTGCTTTGCTCATGGAGGAGGAGCGAGATGCCGCATTTGCGGCTGTGGACGGGTTGCTCATCGCAGTACCGGTTTATGTGTCAATCACGGAGCGGGTAGAGAATGCGACTATCCGCTGTGCAAGGTGAACAACTCACGTGTTTCAATCGAGCGAAGGAGATATCTTTTTCAGAAGCTTGCTCCCTGGCCAAGTATGTATTGTCAATCTCATCAGACTATAGTTGAACCCTCCACGAGGGACGTCGCGGAATCTATTTCGACTGAAGCCACCGAGTGCTGCTTCTATCCATCTTTAGCATTGGAGGATTTCAATGCCATGGACTGTGATAACTTAATTGATTATTTTCCCGCCGGCCCCGACGTCGATGATGACGAGGAAGATTCTCCCATGGAGAGTATCGACGAGGTTAATGGTGACGGACCACTTTTAGACTTTTTAGCGTGCTGTAGTGGGAGAGGAAATATTACCGACCTCGAGAATTCGGTTCTATCATCAACAGTTGAAGAAAGGGTGGTATCGTGTGCTCTCAGCGCACGCTCCTTAGGAACTCTTGGAGACATACTCGCACGTTTCGATGAATTTTTGGAACACTGACTCGCACGGCATGTTGGTGATGAGGGCTTTGTGAGAACTGATCTACTATGTGTCCTTCTTTTTTTCCTGCCTCTATGGTGCTACAATTTAACTCTAGCTGAAGGCGCGGTTGGTCCAATTGCGGATTGCTGCTTTCTCTCGTCAACTATCTGTGACAGAAACCATGAGCTAGGAAGATTGTGACCGACTGCTTACGAATGTCTCTCCAGTGGTCACAAGACTCGCTTTTCCGTGACACGCGCGAGGTTGCTTTCGTGTTCAAACTGGTCGGCTGGATGTAGTTGGCATCTACTTCTCATCAGCAGTATTGTGCTGTTGTTTGGTTTTCGTTGCCTCCTATTATTCCCTCTGGTACGGATATATTGGGAAATCTTTGGCACCTCAGACCGCGGCTTTTCCAGTATACCACATACACCAACTGTCTCATAGGGAGTCTGTTTCACGTTGAGCGTGATGGGATTGCGTTGCTCGAGTAGTTTCCGGAATCCAGACTTAACACAACGCGAGTCGTCATGTTCATAGTATTTTGTGAGGGGGTCATCAGCTAAAGAAAACCCGCTTTGTTTTTTTTCATTGATTTTGTTCAACACTCATATGTCAGCAATTTCCCCTATTATGAAATCTTCCCTTCGTGTGGCCGTTTTACAAACAAAAGTCTTTCCGGAAAAGGCTAGTTCCCTCCGCGGTATGCCTTGTATTTCGGTCGTGCTCTATCTTATGTTAGGCGCTCGAGAGACTCTGTTAGCAGCAATTGATATATCCAAGCCAGATCTATGTGTTATTGGAGAGATGTTCACTTGTCCCTATCATCCGAAGTATGAATCAATGTGCATATCTTCTGCATAAAAATACGTTCTTCAAGATACTTTCGACAATACGGCGAACGCCTACCCGACCAGAGTCCTACGCTAGACATGGTCAAAGAGGTTGCCAAAGAGAAAAATGTAATAATGAGATGGCTAGTGACGGGCCCAATCGTCTGACCTTACGTTGTAGGTGTGGATAGTTGGTGGCACTGTGCCTGAACTGGATGATGCTGATAAGGTCTATAACACGGCATTGGTCGTGAATAGTTCGGGAGAGCTGGTGAAAACTTATCGCAAGGTAGAAATGTGATTACGCTGGTGTTTTACTCGACTTCTCTGTTAGGCTCATCTTTTCGATATAGATGTTCCTGCGGATGGTGATAAGCCTGGTATTCGTTTTTTCGAGTCCGAAACTCTAAGTCCTGGGAACTCTGGTCCATGCGTATTCGACACTCCATGGGGGCCTTTCGGGTAACATGTGTCAACACTGGAGATTATATTTCTCTCGTGATGTAGGCTAGGGATCTGCTACGATGTAAGATTCCCAGAATACGCAGCTCTGCTTCGAAACATAGCCCCCGATCTGAAGATGCTCATCTATCCAGGAGCGTTCAACATGACGACTGGTCCAGTAAGTCTCCGAGTAGAATGTCGGTGTATGCTGTTCATAGGCTCATTGGAGACTCCTTGGACGGGCACGAGCTCTCGATTCACAGTGCTACGTTGTCATGGCATCCCCCTCTCGTAGTGAGAACCCTGAGGATTATCAAGCTTGGGGGCATTCGATGGTAGTCAATCCTTGGGGTGAAGTAATACTAGGACGGCTAGTGCAGTGCTTGGTCTTATGCTTCCATACAGGTTGTGGACGAGACGGACGAGAAGCATGGCTGGTTCACTGTGGATGTAGACTTGACCATGGTAGACAGAGTTCGGCGGAATATCCCTACGGCCTCTCAGAAAAGGTTCTTAGGAGGGCTCCGAATCAGTGTGGTCAACTTCCCGTTGAACTCAGGTACGATCTGTACACGAAGGTACAGCCCGTGGACCAGTCCAACTAGCAGCAGCGAATATTATCCCTGGTATGCTCCGCTCTTTCAACATCATTCAACTTTTCGTTTCATTTGTTGACCTACAGCGCATGTCGTTGAGTATGCATGTACGCCATATCGAGACACCTTCACTCGCCCGGCTTAGGAGGTTATCATGGACCCGGAAGATGATCACATTAATAAATTAGTAAATTAACGACGATCTCTAATTGAGATGTAGGGTTTGAACGAAGCGTGGACAAATGCATACCGATACGACCTCGAAGACGTAGGCCATAGGACTTGTTAAACCTCGTGTATGCAATCACTGACATCATCTAGTCATAATCGGATAACCAATAAAGTGGCAAGTATGGCCATCTGCACTCCATAACTTCCAATCATGAGGGAGTCTCGAATGATTTCGGATTAAACCCATTGCACTATCAACGCAAGCATCTAGAGGTAACGGCATTGCCGCTGCTTGACAACGAATGGACTTGATCAGTCTGTGCAAATGGTAATGAGATACTCCAATATGGAACTCTGATAAAGTACGATGGGATTCTCCCCATACTTGAACTAGTACTACCTCCACTACGTGGGGTTGGGCCGTAGTAGAGCTCATCTTGGCGGCTCCCGCCTCACCTCAACGAGAAGTACCTGGGCTCAGGGGCCTATCCAGAAAAGTCTTGGCTCGGCCCTTGAGCTCTGTTGCCGATGGCTTTCCGAGAAAAATGATTAATAGGGAAGGATGCTGCTCTCTAGTGATACATACCCTCACGGGTGTCCTTTTCCCTTCTCGTGCTTCGACGTTTTACAATCTGGAAAAGAAAATTCAAAACCAGACGCATCAGCAGACACAATGAGCGCTGCATTCTCAGTCGAGAATACGTATTGATGAAAATGGGCAATTTTGACTACGGCACTTCGGGCTAAACATGCCAAGCTCTCAGGTTCCTTCAATGTCACAGTCACCACAGAAGATGTTCAACTCGGAGTCCCACGGGAGTAATAACAGGCTGGAATCTATCGTTATCACAAATTCCTCAACACAACACGAATGAGGTCATTATGGTAGAGGCATTCCTCAGGCTTTAATAGAGCCTTCTTTCTCATCAGTTTCAGGTGACGGGACTGCTGTCGATGCCCCACTCGCTGAGAAGCTCCTCACCGTCTGAATGAACTCCGATTGATTCTCGGAAGAAAGCAATTGAGATCCCATTACAGAGAAAATTAACCTCCCAGTGAGAGTACATTAACACGGTAAGACGCGAGTTGCCCATCCTCCTCGGTGTTTTTATCATCATCGAGACCGATAAACTTCACCTTTTTTGAACCCACCTAAGGGAATACAGATCTGTCACTAAATATCGATCACTCTATCACCATATCATATTTTTCCGCATCTACAATCGGTGCATGCAAACATGTACCCACTGAGCCAACGCTATAAGCCTACTTCCAAGGTCAGTGAATGGGTTTTGTGATGACGCCACACTCTCCGTTTCTGACACTCTGGAAGGCTGAAGAAGTACGTCCGTTGGAGACTTCAATTCTGTCTGCAATTTAATACTTCTTACACACCAGTGGGAATTCCTCCCATAGTTTTCCGTCGTACTGGTACTATTTTTTGCTTAGAAAGTATCTGCCTCCATAACTTCATCGGGGCACTCCACAGCCCATCGTACATCAGCAGAGGCCTTCTTCCGGCCAGTGGCAGGGTCCTCCACGTTGTCATCTCGTTCAGGCACTTCCTTTTCGCGATTCGCCCTCCCCTCTCAAACTGAACGCATCTCAACCGTGATATCAATATTGCATACAACATGTCACGATTTTCAAGCCGACATGAGAGCCCCGTAATCTCCATTCGGAGTTAATACACTTCTCGTTGTATTTGCAAAATATTGTTTCCGGCTAGCAGACATCAGCACAAAGAGAGAGAACCCCACGCATATCAGAGGGAAGAGGTCATTGGTGATCGCAGCTCCAGTGAGCCTCCCATCTCCCAGTTCTACCCTTCCCACCAGGACGTTCTCTCGCTCGTTGCGGCTTTGAAAGCGCGCAACCTTGCGTCCCGTTCGGTCTACAATGGCTGAATCCCAGGCCATGTCTGCCTTGACAATAGCAACCCGGCTCTCTACCGCTCTGAAAACGACTTGAGATAGATGATCCCTAACTGCTGACCAATCTTGCGACGGATTGAGTATAAGTCCAGCCCCCTGGAGTAACATAGAGCGAACAGCCTGGGGAAAGTCCACATCGTAGCATATCAGCATCCCAACCTTCCCGGTCCAGGGCCCATTCGAATCTATGAAAGTTGGAGGTATCTCATATGTCGGATATCCAAACCGTATTGAGCTCTTCTCGCCGACTAGACCGAGTGGGTTTTGCTTGCCATAGATTCCCAAAATCTTGCCGCCAGGTCCCACCAGAATTGCGATATTACCATTTTCACCAACGAGAGCTCCGACGGACATGAAAATATTCAACTGCTCTGCTAATTGCCCTATTTCTGAACGGATATAGTCTTTAGCCTCTGTGAGATTTTGGAAGGGTCCGAGCCACATTTCTGGCCATACCACAAATCTCGCACCTTTACCCATTACAGCGTCTTTGGTAAGCTGCATCTGTCTTTCTAAAGTCCCATTGCAAGTAGCGTCCCTCTCGTACTGCTCTACTGCAGTTTCATCACATGCAACACCACCCAGTTCTGCACCAGGAGTGATCGTTGCCACTCTGGCTGATGGCCCTGTGGAGGTCCGCAAGGTGTAAAACTGAATAATTGACAACAGACTCCATCCGAGCATGCACCACAGCACAAGTGCGACCAGAGGCTTCCGACGCTGTGAGAAAACAAGCTGACCCAGAGCCGCGTTAACTAAGAACACGGTGAATTCCAACGAGTAGAATCCGAACCAGGAAATCGGCTGTATCAGGAAAGGGGCGTCATGGAAAGGCGTGCTGAGTGCAAAAAAAGTCCCCAAAAAATAAGATGTGATATATACGATACCAGTCCAGTATGCTGCCCTCCTGATGGGCTTGCCTATAGCGGACTTATCGTCCAATACGTAGTCATCGGATACCCCTAGTAGGTCCCATAGGGCACCCCAGATGAGCCCTGTTACTAAACCAAGGTACAGTTCCAGACCGATAGACCAGAAAAAGATGCCCGAACAAGCAGCGAACGAAATGGAGGATACCAGAATTGCTCTTTGACACTCCTGCGCGGCAATCATCGGACTAAGGCAGACCAGGGCGAGCGGCCAGAGCTCAAGTGGTTGGTCTAGGTCGAATTTCAGCGTTCGTAGGTTATAGAGAACCACTGAGAGGCCAGAGAGGAGGATACATGTAGTAGAGGGACGGGAGGTAATCACCGAATCATCCGAGAGCATTTAAAATGTTAACTGTTCGAATAACACACCCACGCCCAATTCCGAATTCGGAAAATGCGCAACCCCAGATTCAACCCCAACATACCAAATTGACAGAAAGCGATGTATTTGTGGATTGTAAAAATAATCACCATCACTAACGACAAGCAGGCTCTCTTTCTCAGCTGAGATATGGACATGACTTGAACCGTACCACAACGGTGAGCTCCCATCCAACTCAATCGGTGCGAAGCTCCCTGGTAACCCCACCGTTTCTGGGGACCTCCAGGTTTCCACCAGCTCAGAGCACGACCTTGGCGTGAACAGTCCCCTCGCTGGGTGGGATTCCTCCCACACCATTGGGTCTAAAGAGACGAGTCCACAGTAGAGGCAATACCATCATCGTCCCAATCGATAACTACCATATCCTGCTGGTGATACTCAAACTACCTTCTCATCGACTTCTGCTGCCCAGGCAATCAAGTCTACCAGCTTATTGTCGTAAGGTGCTTATTAGTAAGGCTTGAAGTAGCCGTCACAACACAACAACTGGTAAGGACGGGAGCTCTTAACGTGATCGTCTAGTAAGTAGCAGAAATAGAGGAGGTAGATGCTGATTTCAAGTCACGGCGTCTTCAACGCAAGTCGAGCAGCTTTCAGGGAAGCACTCAGCAATAATACAAAGTAGAGGAGTTGAACTTCAAGTCGTCAATTGGGGCCTCAGGAACTTGTGCAGATTCTCGAATGACAGCATCTAGATCAACGGTAACTCGAGACTCATTAGGAAGGGCGTATGCTTCCAGAATGGCTTTATCACATAGTATTCGCTCCTGGTGGTCAGCGAAGCCCAGTAGAGTAGACCGCATCGCCGCAGCTTCGGTCGGCGCTGGTATGTCAATGGTCGTAGTAGGTTGATTTTGATTAGGCGTATTGTACGGTATAGGAGCCGCCAAATTGGATCGCGAAACCCCACGAGTACTCAAACCACAAGAATGCTCATGGTTTTGCTTCATAACTCGATCGCCCAACGTAACAAGTCGGGCCTTGCAGCCTTTCGTCCGCGCCTTGCAAGTCCAATAGACCCGATCCTTATAAGCTCTCTGCATGTGATACACGTTATCGTCCACTATACATACCACCTTGCCTCTCTGGGACGTTCGAAACGTCGCTGTCTTCATCATCTACGACCGTCTTCGTCGTGGTGGTGGTCGTTGAGGACAGTGGCATCTTGAGCCATCTTGCTATCTTGAGTTTCCTCAACGGGGACCTATGGTTTATTAGAGTTGGTCATCTTTCCCTTCCTCGGAGGAGTGTAGGAGTCCGTGCTGAAGGGCATGGGTAAAGACACGTAGATCGAGATGGCAGCCAGCCGGTGCTCTACTCCTATCAATACAAAGGGAGGACCTACCTGAGGCACCGACCTTGATAGCTACTATCATTGTAAGACCAATAGCCCAGGCTTACGTCCATCCAACGTAGCCCCTCATTGCTGTCTTATAGTCCTCCTCCTCCCCTTCCCTTCCCCCTCCCGGGTCGTATTCGTTCCTCCGGGCATCCACGTATCTCTGACTGTTAGTTCGAACGGGTAGCTTCGACGGGGCGTCGTCGGTTTCTCCACTTTTTTGCCAGTCGGTTGTAGTTCCCTTCAGGCCTACGTGAAACTGTGTTGATGCCTCCCGTTCTTGTTTGCAGAGCGTTCGGTCCCACTACCCTTCCTATGTATAGCCGCAACACTCTTTACGTGGGGAACATATCCTCGCGTACTACCGAGCGTGATATCACGGAGGAGTTTGGACGATATGGTCGCGTCATAAGATGCTACATCCCTTCGGGAAAGAACATTTGCTTCGTGGAGTACGACGACGAGCGGGACGCAGAGGATGCCTACCGCGGTATGGCTTCTGCTCGCGTTGATGGCAATACATTGAACTTGCAATGGGCTAAGGCTGGTCCCAGGTGAGCTCGCCAACAACTTGGTGGTAGCGGACAATTGGCTGCTAGGGACAGAGTACGGAGGTACTACCGCTCCCCCTCGCGTGGTTACAGCCGTAGACATTACGGTCGCTCAAGGAGTCGTAGCTATTCACGTGGTCGTTCTCGTCGGGGAAGAAGCTACCGTTCCCGTTCCCGATCCTATTCGCGGTCTGGGTCGCGATCATCTAGATCTCGCTCGGGTTCCTCTGTCAGCCGGTAAGTCACGGAGTGTATCGGGATCTCCGACAAGGTCCTGGCGTTCCTTTTCAGATCGGACAGTCGTGATGGGCGTCGTACTCACTCGGAGTCTCCCCGGAAGCATCGCGATCGCTCGTCCACGTCCAAGGTTGAAGACAGAGAGCGGTCCCGTCACGAATCAAGATCGAGAACATCTCGTCGAGAGGAAGGTTCTGAGTGTCGCTCAAGGAGCCCCAGTGAGAAGGAGCGTACAAGTCGTTCGAGGGACCGCAGCGAGCTTCGTGAGGGAAAATCCAAATCGAGAGAAGCCGACCGGTCGGAGTCTCGTGGTTCCCGGAGCCGTAGCGGGCCTCGGGATAGTCGCTCTGGAAGCCGCAGTACCGAGCGCTCCAATGACCGTGTTGAGGAAAAACGTGGAAGTGAGAGCCCTGAGAAAGATGTGAAGAAGCGCGACCGCAGCGGCGAGCGGGTGCCAAGTTCTGACGCTAAGAGCCCCTCGCGGGGTGAGTCTCAACGTCGACGAGATCACAGTACACGTAGGAGTTCGAGTCGTAGGGATGACAATGACCGGAAGAGGAGTGCTTCACGTGATAGGAGTGAGAGCCGTCGGAAGAGTACTCGCAGAGAGGAGAGTGACAAGCCCACAGCAAGTGTAGATCGTAAGGCAGATTAGTTGCTCTACTGCTGTGCTAGTACTACAGCACTACGAGTGATCCCTACTATATCATCATCTCCTGTCTCCTGCTGACACCAACGTTTTGTGTTGGGACTCTCCTTAACTACAAGGGTTATATCAGTTTCCTCAGTGGGGCATTGGGCACATGTATCCTCTACAGTCTCGGTGGTTGGGCTACAGCTTCTATCTCGTCATTTTGCACCTACCGACCCGTTCCTCGCCGTCAAACCGGATATTGTTTATATAGTGCTGAAAGTGTTCGAAGTCTTCCCCGAGGCATTCGACTTGTCTGTTGATCTTTAGTGCCAGCTCGTCGCCCCATCTATGTCGATCACCAAGCAGTGCTGCTACCTTGGGTTCGCCTTCTTGACCATTCAAACCACAGGAGGGCCTGTCGGGAGATTACCAGTCTTGAGCTCAGGCAACGTCAGGTTGGTGGTTGCTTTCTACATGGTCTCTACGTTAACTGCTCGTAGTGTATTGTGTTGCTTCTGGCGCTCACGTTTCCATGCCATATCTCAATTGAGCTCTGTCTTGGTGTATTTCCTGTCAGGAGCGTTTGATTTTTTGGCCAAATGTCGCGTCAATCTGGCTACGATCGTCATATCACAATCTTCAGTCCTGAGGGACGACTATACCAGGTAATAGGCCCTTGCTGGTAGAGGCTCCTGTAGTGCTGTCAGGTTGAGTATGCTTTCAAAGCTGTGAAGACATCTGGGCTCACATGCCTTGCCATGAAGGGCAAGAATACGGTTGTTGCAGTTGGCCAAAAGAAGATCCCGGTCAGCACAAGTGCTTGTCAGAGGTCTCCTCACTTGGTTTCATTTCCCAGGATAAGCTCCAGGATGGCTCCTTTACCAACTCCATATATCGTATCACCTCCAACCTAGGAGTTGTCATAGCCGGCATGCCAGCTGATGTCCGAGCTCTCGTTAATAGGGCTCGTCAGACTGCTTCCGAGTAAGAAGTCGATGAATATATAAGCCGCTCTATTCGCTTGTGCAGGTATGAGGACAAGAACGGTTGCGAGATCCCTTGCCACTATCTGGCTAAGAAGATCGCCAACTTAGCTCAGGTCTACACTCAGCATGCATATATGCGTCCATATGGTGTTAGTAAGCGAGGCATTGAACTTCTTAGCAACAGATATGAGTTGTTCTTCCTTCCTAGTTGCTCTGTTCTTCGGAATTGACGATGAATTCGGCCCTCAACTCTTGAAGGTAGATCCTGCTGGTCACTATGTGGGCTGTAAGGCTGCTGCAGCCGGTACAAAGGAGCAGGTAATATCCGCGTTCATCTACCATGTAATACCCATTCTATAGGAAGCTACAAATGCGTTGGAGAAAATAGTGCGCAAGAGAATGGACACTGGCGTGCCCGAGGGCTCAGATGAGACTGAGACCGTTGAAGAGGCCATAGCCGCCTTACAGACAGTAGTATATGATGAGTGTGTTGCCTGTCCCTCCTCAGAAATATGTTGCTATAGGTTTTGTCCATGGATTTCAAGCCCAGTGATATTGAGGTCTGCGTCATGAGTACTCAGAACACTAGATTTAGGTGGTTATTCCTCTACGTCGGTATTCGCTATATGTACTCGGATTTTCAGGAAACTCACCCCATCGGAAATCGATGAGCATCTGAACGCGATAGCTGAGAAGGATTAGGAGTGATTGATGTGATCGTTGCTCATTTATACTACGGAAGTGTTTCGAAGTTTTACGATGCGTTGCGTTGACATTTAACAACGTATTTAACATTACATCAGTGGGTTTGAAGCCGAGGCAGTGAAGAATAGCAATTTATCCGAATGAGCGTTGGATTTTCATAAACGTAGTACCTCCTTTGTGGGCATGACATCTTTTTCAACTAAAGGTCTCAACGTCATTTAGTGGGTAATTTTCTTCGTTTCTACTGGTTTCCTCAAGTGGCTGAATCCCCCACCGCAATCTATTGTTCCATTCGTCGACACAACTCAACTTATCAATGAAACACACACATTTCAACCAATGGCTATCTGCTCTTCAGGCTAGTTCAGGAGTGCAGGGAACTCATTTATTCTGTTTCAAGAACAGCTTCCGCTTCGAAAGCTTGACCTCTGTTTCTCCGTCGTATCTCATCAGCTTCATTTTGACACTTTGCATAGCGTCTTCTGAGATCTTTGAACTGCTTCTTGGAGGCTGCGAATCTATCATAGCCGGCACGCTTGAGCCATCCCGAGGAAGGGCCATATCCAATCTGTAGTTCAAGAACGATTCAAATAACTTCCCAAAAGGAAACTTACTTTCGTATAACCCCAATCGGCATACCCGTTCTGGTATTTGCCGAGTAGAGTGAACGTAAGATCAAACCATATACTGGTCAAATGGCTGCAGAATTCGGGCATAGCAGCTTCGATCTCTGAGGACGGGAAATAACAAAGCCAAAGCCACGGTGACACGCCAGGGATTTACCTTCATCAGTTTTCGTTGCGAGCATCATGTCTATCTCAGTTTCCGCTGCTACTTGAGCCTTGCGGACGTCCTCGATCATATAACGATACTTCAAATCCATCACGTTCGACACGGAGAGCACACCCCACCAAAGGGAGCTGCGATTGAATTCACCCTGCCATGCATATTCAAGAGCGGGGATCGACGTCTGATCGACAAGCAGATGGTGTGAACTTTGCTAACTACAACTTACCACTGATTGTTGAGGCTTCACTACGATGGGGATATACACACTAGCATGAGGGGTACCTGAGAACTCCCTCGAATTTTCCCACACGAGCCTTATAGGAATCATCTACCCGGAGCGAAGTAGATGATATTCGCCTTGTCCTTGTAGGCTACAGCGAAGTACGAATACTGCGTTCGGTACAGCGATATAGCACGTTCCCATGCACCATGCTTGAAGCTCTTCTCAGCTTCTGCGCCATCATATCTGAAAGCAACAGCATAGCTGAAGATGCTGACGTTCGTGCTATCTACCTAGTGGGTGTGTTGAAGGGCCCACCAGCAACGACGTGATCAGTGAGATCATACGGAGTCCCTTCGTAATGATCCCGGTATAAGCGTTTCAGGAAATCAACAGTAACAGGTTCATCAGGCTTAACAGAGAAAGGGTAGGTGGCATGGTCCCAGTCGACACCGAGCTTGGGATCAAGATTTAGAGAGGGCGCGAACAGTGAAAGACCTCTCCACAAACGACGTCCAGCATAATAAGGATGATCATACCTAACAAGTACAACATGGTTCGATGCCGTGAGCAGCAACTCGACTTACTCGCTCACACTGTAAACCTTGACAAAGTCGAGCTTGCCAACACCATCCCACCAGCCGAGCCTGAGAATTAGGGCTCGAGGGCGTCAACCACATGGAAAACAATGTTTTCATGGCTACAGTGTATTTGCAACACCCTTTTACTATTACCTCCTCGCCACATCGAATATGTTCTTAGAGAAAAGGAAGTTTTCAGAATCATCAGGGTCAATCTCTCGAATGACAAATACATTAGGCACCATGGTCGCATGGCCCTTGGGAACTTTCTGGGCCACCCAAACCGCACCATTTCCAGTATCATCAGCCATGATATGGAAAACCCAAGCTTCACTCTTATCAGCGATGGTCAAGGCTTCTCCCGCTTCCACGATACTTGTCGTACCATAAAATCCGTACTTCTCTGCTAGACCACCCATGGTCTCAATAGCACACCTCGCGGTTGCACAGCGCTCCATTGCTATGTCCGACAGTTCCCCCACCCAGAGAAGCGCTCCTGAAGTGTCGTACTCATCCTCTGAAAAAAAAGAAATCACAATTATGTGCTGATCATCAGAACTTCACATTCCCCTAGTACTCCTTGGCTCAGCGGCCAGACGTCCACTACAGCTACTTTCACCCATGGACAAACCAGCCTCATTCATAACGCCATAGGCGGCATCCCAGTAGCCATAGGTGGTCCCCTCTGGCATGTCGATATAACCAATAGGGACACTCTCCTTCTGCTCAGGTGAGGTAGGTGCATAACTCGGCGCACGGGAGGCATCAACGATCCTTGGATAATCATCGACTTGCTTGAAAACGGCCCTCTTGCCACCTGGGCCGTAGGTCTTCGGAGGGACGTACCTGAATTGTGAGGTACTGCATAAGAGCCCGACAGAATAGTACTTACACCATCCTAAAGTCAATTGGACTTCCATCAGCACTCGTTCCAGAAATGCATCCCCCATCTATGGTCGCAGCACAATCTACCGCAAGGGCGGTACAATGATCGTGATCTGGTCGTACTCGATCTCTGCTAGCACTCTGAGAAAAAAAATCAGATAAGACTTTGCCAAGAATTGATATGATAAATACTACTCAATAGATACTCCCATACTCACCTGAAGGGTTGATCCCAGAGCTATGTCGAGGCCACTCAGCAATAACAAAGATGAGTAACGCATTAACAATGACAAGAGATACTGTCAGGAAGCAAAATACAAACAGTCACGATGGCACAGAGTGGTAACTCCATAGGGCATATGCAATCCCACAGAAAGCACACTCTTGTGTAGGCAGCGAGGACTTGTCCACATGAATAACCCAACTGGTAGAGGATCTCCAACACAACATCGATGGAGTTAGATCGGAGAGAAAAGTAGCGATCTGTGTGGAAACGTAAAAACTGGGCGACCAAAGAGATTGGAAAACTTGAAAAAGTAGCGCGGAAACCACCTTCGAACAGGAACGAACTTATGCGTTTCTACGCCGAATGACATCAGCTTCGCTTTGACTTTTCATAAAGCGCTCCTTCTGATCATCGAACTGCTTCTTTGTTGCATCGAACTTGTCAAAACCAACAGTCTTGAGCCACTCAGTAGTGGGGCCATAGCCCAGCTGAACACGATGTCACAAGAAGCAGTCCTTATCAAAAACGCACCTTAGAGTAACCCCAGTCGGCGTAGCCGTTCTGATACTTCCCCAGAAGGGTGTAGTGCAATTTGAACCAACGACGAGTCAAATCATCGCACAACTCCGGGGTCTGCTTTTCGATCTCTGAAAAAACAACAAATATTCGTCGAAGTCAATTTCCACTGTACTCACCATCCAAGGACTTGGTCTTCATCATAGCATCTATTTCATCCTCTACCTCCTTCTGTGCCTCTCGAACATCCTTGACCATGTAGCACCACTTCAAATCCATCGTATTAGAGACACTCAAAACGGCCCACCACAGGGACTTCTCGTTGAACTCGCCCTGCCAAGCATTCTCCAATGCAGGAATGGACCTCTGAAGTACAACATCGAATCAGCGACTAGGAGTTCGCTTCATAACGTACCACAGTAGGGTTCGGCTTCACCACGATGGGCACAAATACACTACCGTGTGGAGCACCTGCTCATCCCTGCGTACAAGCGACGACAAATAATAACACACTCACCAACAGCAAAATGGAGGACTCCAGGCTGGCCCTTACGAGCCACGGCAATGTACGCGTATTGGGTGCGGAAAAGGGAAATCGCTCTCTCCCAAGCACCATATTCCATCGAGTCCTCAGCCTCTGCTTCAGCATACCTGTAATAGAGATGGTCCGGACCGAGAACAAGCTTGAAGCCAGGCTACCTGTTGGGCGTCCTGAACGCCCCTCCAGCCGTCACGTGGTTAGTCAGGTCGTACTGAGTACCCTCCATATGATCTCGATACAAGCTCTTCATCTTCTCTAGCGTGATCGGCTCGTCGGGCTTCACCGAGAAAGGGTATGTTGGTCGTTCAAGTTCAACACCAAGTTTCGGGTCGAAGTTCTGCGAAGGTGCCCACAGAGAGAACGCCCTCCATAAACGGCGACCAGCATAATAGGGATGATTATACCTGGTAGACACAGCTCAAGGCTGCACAAGTATTTCCAAGTATAGCTTACTCGCCGACGCTATATGTTCTGGTGAAATCCAATAAACCAGCGCCATCCCACCATCCTAATCTGAGATGAAACACCGAATGTGAGTAGACAATGACGAAGAGTAAAGCGCCCTACCTCTTGGCTACATCGAAGATGTTCTTCGAAAACATGAAGTTATCCCTGTCATCAGGATCAATATCACGGATAATGAAAACATTAGGAACGATTGTGGCATGGCCCTTAGGGACCTTCTGAGCTGCCCAAACCGCTCCACTGCCAGTGTCATCAGACAGGATATGGAAGACCCAGGCCTCATCACCATCAGCGACCGTCAAGGCCTCCCCTGCTTCTTCGACCTCAGTGGTGCCATAAAAGCCATGCTCCTCAGCAAGCCGACCCATGGTCTCAATCGCACCTCGAGCAGTGGAGCAAAGCTCAAGGGCAATACTCGCTAGCTCGCCGACCCAGAACAAGGCACCATGAGGATTCTCATCTACAAACAAGCAAGGGGCAATCAATTCCGTTGTACTAAACCAGAGAACTCACCAACTGGGACAGTAGCTAAGCGACCACTACAACTACTCTCGCCCATGCACAGACCAGCCTCGTTCATAAGCCCATAAGCAGCTTCCCAGTATCCATAGGTAGTGCCCTCCGGCATATCAACATACCCGATAGGTACACTTAGTTTTTGTTCAGGTCCGGTCGGAGCGTAGCTCGGTGCACGCTCAGCATCCACGATACGTGGATAAGCTTGGAATTGCTTGTACACGGCCCGCTTGCCGTTAGGACCATAAGTTCGCGGGGGAATGTACCTAGCAGCAGAGACAGTCATTCGACCCCTTTCTCTGCATTCTTATTTGCATACACTAAGCGGAAGTCTATAGGAGTTCCATCGGCACTTGTAGCCGCAATACACGCACCATCAGCGGTGCCCATGCCGTCTACAGCAGTAGCTGTACAATGACCACGCTGTAGGAACTTATCAGATGTGCTCATCATTAGAAAGAGTACCAAGAAAGAACAACTCGGAAACGATTCACTCAATCAACTACAACACTATCATCAACTGTATGATTTCCCTATGAGAATTGTGATTCACGATCCTCATAGGGGCATCATATATCCATCATATAGAAATTGCACCCTCCCCCCGACCATACTCCTCCCAATACCTACACTAAGCGGATATCTACTGGAGTGCCGTCCGCACTAGACGCAGCCATACAGCCCCCTTCTGCTGTAGCTCCACAATCAACGGCAACAGCGGTGCAATTACCACTTTGCAAAAACTCGGAGCAGTGAGACATTACAGGGCGTAAAAATGCTTAGTAAACTACACAATTCACGTGAACTAGCGTAGAGGTAGACAGCGCGCAACACAAAGGTATCACACTAGCCCAATTATTTCTAGAAAGTTAACCGCACACTCAGAGTGGATCTCCACTAGGGACAAATGAAAAGTTTGAATATCATGGGTTGCAATTCGCGATCAGGATCGTGATCTCTCTTTCATAGGACATATGAGTGAGCACATCCCTAGTGAATGCCAGCTAATCCTAAGAATCATCAGGGAGTTCTGCAACCTGTCACACGATCACATCAACTGATCAGAAGGATTGCATACTATACAAAACTCCCATGATTATGATACTCTCCCTGATAACTCACCGAAAGGTCCCCCACTAGTCGAGGTGGTTCAATGGCCCTCCAGAAAGGCACGATCACTACACAAACGCCCGTTGAGCTCCATCTCGAGCACAGAGGATGATTCTGTGGCGAAAAGTCTCAAGTCTCCAACCATCACTGATCACAGGCCCCACGCCACTGGCTCAACACACGAGGAGTTTAGAAATCAAATTGGTCATCAGACATGGAGTAGGCCCGCTAGGGGTCGTCGACTTCCACAGTACTCTACGAAAACACGGCTTATATTAACAAAGGTTGATTCAGTATAACGAAAAATACGTGATTGAGAACAGTCCTAGAGCATGAGCTTCCATCTCGAGATGGGAAGGCTCTCTGCATATCGCCCATGGTGACACGGCTTATACCGCTCGGGTGACCTGCTGGCATACAGCATAGGCTTCCACGCGCTAAGCCGGTCGAATTTAGGGGGAGACTTTTCCAATGCCTGCGCCTTATCAACCAAATGGAGTGTTCGGTCGACTTTTGCGATCATCCTCTCCAACATTGCCAGTACTTCGCCATGGGGATGTTTGTGGGAAGATCCCATCCTGTGGCAAGCAGCAACACTAGACATAAGTTGGATCGTAGGTTACCCAGTAACAGTAATTTCCAGCCCAACGCCACGCGTGAGCAATGGCAAATTTGTAATGTCCGGTTCGGTTGAAATAGAAGACACCTAAAGAGCCGGATCATCTATAATAGTACCACGCCAATAGAGAATCACCTCACTGTGATCAGCATTATCGATATCCTTCAAGTCTACTTTAGAGAGCGCGGGAAGAGTTGGGCACGCTGTCAGAATTTCTGTCATCTCTGCTCAGCACATACACATACATACCACCCCAATGTCAAGGTCCTCACCAAGGGAAGTCTCACTCCATTCTTTATTACTAAGAGGGAGCTTCAACCGCTCGAATACGCTCATCACTTTAGAGAGCTGGTCCAGCCGTAGTTGCTCAAGATGCCTGTCAGAAATATCAGTGCTTGTCCCCCCCCTAGTTCACCACCGAGCAGCTATTAGTTGTTCCTCCAGAATCTTAACTCGGAGAGTCGAGGATTCGAAGTCGGTCCCGTAAGAGCCATTCTACACACGAAGTTATCACCGTACTACTGCGATCGTCGTCATACCTCCGTGTGGGGCGCAATACGTCGTCGATGACTGACCTCTTCTAACTTTTGATCCAGTATTTCATTCTCTTTCACTAACCTATTGAACATCTTAATCCACGGCCGATTCCAGTCGTCTGTCCGATCACTCAGCATTGTACTGCCGTGCACTCATGTATTCCCTCGTTATTTCATCCATTGAGTCTTCGTCGTCGACGGCGTCGTCCGCAGACCAGCTACTGCCAAAGTCCGGCGTGAAGGCAATTCCTTGGTACTGGGCATTCTGTAAGGTCATTGAAATCTCTAGCTGGATTTAGTAAGACCACATCATGAAGGTTCTTCTACTCACCTTTACTTAATCAGGTTACCTTTGAAGGGTGTTCGCATGTTTTACAAAGGCATCCGCGTAGACACCAGTGGGTCCACCCCAAGAGTGCGCTACACAGTACTGGTTTAAAGTCAACACATGATGCTTGAATGAAGCATCACTATCTGCAAGTCTAACAGCAGAAGTGAGAACTTCAGTTCACAATCTGTTGATAATAGTCGAAGTCTTCGACGGGAAGACCCTGCACGCAAATCCTGAGACGGAAAAACGCAAGTCGCGCAAGATGCGCAAGATCTCCTAGTCCGCAACAACTCATCGTTGCCTTCACATTCGTGCCGTTAAACATGGCTCTCCGTGGCGCTACTCTACTTCGTCGATCCAGGTACTTGCTGGAACAGGTGATACTTCTAGCAGTGTCGCCTTGGACCATTTATTGATCTCCACCAGGTCCCTGATGTCTTCGCCACATTTGGGTGGGAGAGGCGTTTGACTGTTATCCATCATCCCGGAGTTATGGCCATCTCTAAACTTTTGGACCAAAGGACTGTCGTTAAGCCCAGAGCTACCTTTAATCAGGTATCATCGATTTCCGTATTTCCCATTACCATCATTTCAGGAGCTCGTTGAGGAGATAGGCGACTACGATGAGGACCTGCAGAGGAAGGCGCAAGTAGGAGACCACCGATTCGCGCCGACCCGAAGTATTCTCACCGGTTATTGTACAGGTTGCTCTGGACAACGGGTTGGCTATCGAATGGCGCGTGCTCGACTTCATCGATGATGAGCTTCCTCGTCTCCTAGCCGAAAAGCGTGAGATAGAGAAAGCCAGAGAGCAGGTAAAACGCTGGTCATATTTTTCCTGCCATAAATGCACTGGTTGTGTAGGTGATGAGTAAGGCCCCTGGAGATTACACCCAACCAGTTTTCGACTCCTCTGTGGTCGTGCCAACACCAGCTAATCTCGGCCGTAACTATCCCACTCTCAATGTCCCTGATGGAGATCCGACTGAGACCGCCCCTTTGAACGTTGGAGAGGAGCGTAAACCTGAGGTAGGTCATCGATACAGCCACAAGTCGTCGATGAAAGCGAACGCCGACTTTAGGTTGCAGCATGAGAAGGCCAACCTTTTTTAACATTTGATATCCCATTCGCACAGGCTGGGCCTATAAGGCTCGGCCATTACACTATGGAGTTCTGGAAGAGATTTGAAATGTGATGATGGTTGAACTCCTACATTATCCGTAGACAAGCTAATCGGTTGAGTTCTTGGCAAGTACTAAAATGGGAAAGTAGAGAGCATACTTTGTCATTACTTGCCGTCAGGGAAGACCGATGTCCATAGAGACACGGATCGAGTTGCACTGGATGACGTGTTCTTAGTTTGCATCTTGTATGAGTTTTGATCTGCAGCGGACCAAGCGTCACTCTAGCGCTTTATCCAGTTCAGAATCGTCGATTCCCGGTTTGGCTCAACGTCGTAGTGGGGGTTCCGGAGGCCTGCTCAGTAGGCTCGGGTATAACTCAACTAGCGGAGCCAACAGTCATCATCTAGCTGCAGAAGCAACCGCAAGTCGACCTGATAAGTGTGCTCACTCGTTCGGGGACGGGTTCATTGGTGATTGGGGATTGAATATAGGATTCAATACTGTCACGCATGGTGGTTCGTCCTCAGAGTTTTCCGTCGGACTCCAACAGGCGGGAAGTTGTCATCCGGTGGCACCAAACCAGCTAGGGTAGACCAACTAGATCTTTGTCGATTTGTAGTATCGGTTGATTGGTTCAGATATCCAAGGTGCGGCGACCATTGGAAGGGAACAGGTCGATTTGGATGAGCTTGAAAATGCCTCTGGTCGGCCTGCCTATTTGACTTCGACGTAATAGTCTCGGGGAGAAGGTTATATACATATATGCTCCGACTGATGTTATGCTTGATATTGCTGAACTAATGTCTCACGTAGGTACGGGTCGAAGCTTGGAGATTAGGGTTGAGGTATACACCGCTTAAGAAGGAACGCCAGGAAGGGACAGTGGATCCGAAAAGACGAGAACATAGAGTACTATGGGTGGTCTCTGTCCGGTGAATATGAGGCCTCAAGCCTTGACGGGCGAATTCGCGATGTGTCCTCGATGTCAGCGGAGCAGATACAGCCGATGTCGGTCACTGCAGCACAGCAGCAACAGTATGCATCTCTACAGCAAATATGAGTAGTAGTAGGATGGACTCATGCATTGCGATGAGTGAGAGTTCCATAGTATTTTGGATAGAGTAGGCGATACAGAATCACATTGATTTTCGGTCATGTCCTAGATGCTGATATCCGTATAGTCCTCAGGTCGACTTACCTCGATTTTTTGAGGACTTACTTTGTTCACATTGGACAGGATCCAGGGCATCATGGAGCGGATACTGTAAATCTGGGCTGTTCGGAATCCCGTGTCCGGCTATGTTCAAGTATTATGGGCGGAATGCTTTCTGATTGTACGGTTGGCCGAGTTATGCTCAGCCTGAGAATTAACACGGTGAACGGTTCAGTGTTGAAGCTCTCAACTTGAAGGATAGGCTGACCCGACCGTTTTATCGAAGTGACCAGAGGGGATCGACGACCTTCTTACGCCGGTCGTTGTGATCCTCCTCCAAGTAAGATGGGAAATGCCCACGACGTTGACGACAAGGAGTCGCTGGACGATGTGCAGCTCATGGAAGTGGAAGCCGATGCAGGATGCTCTCACGAGTGAATACTCGAAAACACCGGAATGACTCTGACTATCGCTGCCTCAGGTTCTGTCGAACATACAGGACCATCTGAATAGTCCTGCTCAGCCCGACATTGATAACGCGATGATGTTGAAGGATGACATTGTCAAACGTGTGGATGACAAGTTAGCCAGCCACTTAGACAAGGAAATGGTAGCACTCCAGCTAGCGTTTCGATGGTTCAACTGTCTCATGCTCCGGGAGTTGCCTTTGCAATGTAGGTCTGTGCATGTTAATTCACTGTTGCTATTGTGGCAGCGCTCGTTAAACATGGCTCATAGGTACGTTGAGATTCTGGGATACGTGTATAGCCGAGAAAGATGGTCCACATCTGTGCCACATTCTCGGTTCACTGGGCATCTCAGCTGGATAGGATTGACTTCTCCGAAAATTTCGAAGCATACTTCGAATTTCATTAATCATACATCGATTAATGATCGACGATTATGGCCATACGTACGGAGAGCATAATTTCGGACCGAAATTATGCTCTTCGTACGAGTGCTTATTAATTATGCAGCTCTAGAGTGTTTTTTGATTTGAGAAAGCCTCCACTTCACAAGGAACGGAAGCGGATGTGGAACCTCTTTCGGGTGAGGCATTTGTTCTGAAGTCGCTCTCTGACGCTGCTCCGAATCATCTGCAGAACTAGGAAGCCACGATGAACAGCATATAATAGCATCAGCATCCTGTTCCTTGCACTGCTAAAATCCTGTTTACTTTGGTGATTCCTCCACGGTAGGACCGCCACACAATTGATGTGCATTTTGAATATTAGTTCAACAAACCTGTTGTTGGAGTTAGTCGTCAGTTTGTCGAGATGAGGGAGCTTATGCAGCGAGTTGTATCGACTATATGCTTCTCGCATGTCCTTCCCCCATGTGCAAAGAGCGATACCCGCTTCGTCACATCGACACATCAGTCGTTTCGATACGTCTCAATGAACTCCAGTATTACTCGCTCTCCCACATGTCTCACCCAACGCGACACCGTGTCGCCGACACGACAAACCCTATTACTTTCCGAACTCTGCCTCATACACTCTCCACTAGCAACTACCGCGCGTGGGTTCCTCGATACACAGCTACATCACAAGTATAAGACAACGATGGAGGGCCATCTTTCGTGTCTTCAATGACTACATTATTCTAACGTCTCATGATCCATTCACGCTGAATCGAGCACAAAGGTACATCGTAAACGAGTGAAGGAAAAGACGAGTCATGCTTCCCATGCCCAGTGTGTAGAGGAGGAAACAACCCATGGTACCTCGGTTGTTCCCATTAGTAACTCGAGATCTCATAGGGAGGCTCATCGCTGCCCGTAGCGTAGAAATCCCATAGACGCTGGGGATGGAAGAGGTATTGACCAAACCTCAAACCTGAAGCCCGGGAGCCGAGGTCTGGGTTTGGCAATACTGACCAGAGGATGAGTCAGCGAACTGATGTGAATAAGCTATCCGAGCATTAGTCACAGAGTCAACTGCCTCATCTCTAGTCCCCCAGTATCAAGGGTAAGAAAGAAAAATCGTACTGCTGGGGTGCTCCACATCCCTACAGCAGTCCTTGGAGTCTGCCAGTTCTATCATTGCAGCACTCACTTACATCAACACAACAGGTTGTTTAGCGCTCGCCTCACGGGTACTCCGCTAGGTCGCACACTTTCCCTCTTATCGGGGATGGTGGTACGATCCCCAGCTGGGGAATTTCTCCGCCAAGAAACCGTACCGTGTTTCTCTCTCATAGAAACCGTCGATTGTATGCAGAGACAGCTTAGCACGGGTGACGCGTGAGAAACGCGTGAATTTGTCCTGGTTGAACGCATGTGATCCTCAGAAAGTAACTCATGTCTCGCGATCAGTTCTATTCGTGATGTCGGTCGAAGATGCTGGTGAGAATGCTTGGTACTGCTACATTTGCGAGCAGTGGCTGAATCGTTCCAATAACTCCCGACACGGTGGCACTGAGCGTAACATGATTAAACACCTGAAATTTAATAGGTATTTGTTTCTCAGGTCATCTCCTTCATTCGTCATACAAATCTATTATATTACAGCAAAGAACGGTGATAGCAGAACTGTTGACGTGCGGGCCACTGATATTCGAGTATATTGGTAATGATGCTGGTAACGATGCTGGCAATGGTGATGGTGACGGTGATACTGGACCAGTATTACCATTACCAGTATTACTGGTAATGGTTTCTTTCTGTTTCTTTCTCGTGACTGTGCCATAGTTCACGCTGATACTTGAACGTAGGTTTTGTATTATATTTGTTATTATTCTGTAATATATACATGTCTGTACGTTAGGAGTACCAAATCTATCCACCTTGTTACATTATTGTTGTTGCTCCTATCTTGTGTTACAATCAATTGATAATCGGCGAAAGTGGAAGTTCCACTGTGGAACTAAGACAAAAACACGCGGCGTGTTACACGCCCATGTTTGCTCGTCTCGGTAAGCGGAAGATCCCAGGTTCGACCATCGGGCATGAGTGATCTTGGACAAGAGGATTTTTTTCGACCCTTCGTACCCTCCCCACCCGAACCAGTCTGGTCTCGGACATACAAACAGCTCCGATGAATACTTTCCCTTTGAGAATATATTCATTCAAGCCTATACCTTTCATTCAAGAGAAGATATGAATGATCATACAAGCAACAAGGTGAAATTAGAGCTGTTCTCATCAAACTCGGACGACCCCATTGGTGGTATTACCACCAGCGAAGGTACTGAAACTATGTGGTACATGGTATCAATCAAATATCGCAGTCCCGAACCATTTCGATTTATTCATATTGGAATCTCTGTGTCAGAAGCCCGAGAAAACAACATATACAGGGATCGATAAGAAACACTCGAACAGTAATCTACATCATATCCAGAGTCGACTGAATGACGCCCGAGGTGTACCTGATGGACTTGTGATAACCAACTAGATAACCTACTCCTCCTACTCTTGCTCCTTTTGGTTTTCTGGAGTGATCACCAACTTCGCGAGCTCCATCAAAGCTCTGCCTTCTGGCGGTTCCAACATGTATCGGGAGACATCGCATGTAAGGTGAAGTAACTGATGAAGGGAGACCCGTCCAGTCCAAGTTGGTCAAGTCACTGAGACTCACTAATCGCTGATGCTTCCGTGCAGCCTCTTCCCTGCGCTCCGCCCATTCTTTGAACTCTTGTAAGCGGGCAGATTGATCCGCATCAGGCTTCTCTAAAGGACCATCGGCCGGTCCCAAACCACGGAGTTGCGAGTCGAACAGCTGGGCGGCAGCTTCGTGATTTGCCATGGCTTGAGGGGAGAAAGAACGCGATCCGGCCAGGAGCCGAGATATGTATCTGCAGAGGGAATATTCAACATCAGTATCACTGTATATCATCATCTTTACGTTTGAAGAACAGCCCCGCTCTTCCCTAGCATTATTCTAGGAGGGTATGACCGTCCCAACAACTGATAGTCTCTCGTTGGCGCAGGACAAAGATCACCAAACGACAGAGACGTACGACACATTTTGATAACTGAACCAAGAAAAATGAGGGTAAAATCATACGATATACTTCTATGGTTGAGAGCACGAATTACCCTGTTCAATCCTCTCATAATGCTCCTTACAGATGGGCAGCCAAAACTTATCGCCTCCCGACTCGAGTATTTCATGAATGAGCTCAGGCTTGCACATAGCCATTCCAGAGGCTGAAAAGGATCTCATAGTAACTCGTTAGGTCGTATCATGCGACATTGCCTTCGATCTACTCGTAGCTATTTTGGCTTTTCCGATGATAACATACCTGATGTATTAGCTTCACGTTCGGCCTCAGTAAGGCCCTGGTCGAAGCCCTCCCCATCCATAGCGAGCTTGATGGCTTCTTGTCGTTCAGCCGATGAGAACCTGTAGTGGGGAATCGCAAACAACTGTTATCGAGTACTTTCAGGGTTGGACAATACAGTTATCGAGCGTCACAAAGAAGCTACCTGTAGATGAGGTATGCTCGTTCACTGGCCTGTTTGGCCATGAACTCCTCAACGTTCATACCAAGTCGCTTTGCTTGAGGCTCCGCGAGCTTAGCGGCTCCTGTGATATCGCCTGAGGTAATACACTATCCACCTATGATGTGAATGTATGCATGCAAAAACGAAGCCGTTGAGAAGGCAAGATTTGGTGAGAACGACAGGACATTGGCCGAAATTTACCCTCCATCATTAGCTGGAAAAAGTTCTGCGCGGTATCAATCTCGTCTTGCGAGTAAAATCTCGGTGCCGAGGTCTGCAAACTCCTGACGCTTCCACTGAGGGCCGCAGTGGCAGCTCGACTAGATGATGATAGCCACAAGTTACGGACAGCTGGTGTACTCATTATGTGTGAGACAATAATAAGAGGATGGACAGTTCTGCATAAACGTAAGAAACGACCAGTGAAAGTTTCAACACGACCTGTAATAGAAGTCGACAGAAACCACGACCATGTACGCTGGTGAACTGATCATATATATTGCTTCCTCTTCTTGATGCGAATCCGCCTATCCCGGAACCATCGCCACCACCTACATCGGGAGCAATCACACAGTCAGAAGTGCCGCGAATATTACTCCCCCATAGGCCCACAGTCAGCTTTCTGCGGATTCTGTAAGCCCTTTATCCTCTCCTTAATCTGCTGCTGCCGCATGAAGTGCTTTTTATAACCTGAAACTTTCCCATGGAGGATTCGAATTCCTGGCCCTAGTCAAGATCGCTAGGATGCAGACAGGCCGAGCACTCCTACAGTATTTACGACCAACTTACAGTATATGGCCAATGGAGCTGGTTCATGTACAGCCCGTAGCTGCCGTGCCGTTGTACGTGATATCCTCTGTGCTAGAGAAGACATTGGGCCATCCAATTAGTAATCTATTTTGCAACTCCTGCAACACAATTCCGACGGAGCGTTGCACACAATTCTAGTGCTTTTCGCGAATTTTGTTCGTGACATTATCTCTTTTCATGAATGGATTTAACACGATATACATGAGATCGAAGCTGATACTTATGTCAGACGAGTTGTGTGTGATAGCTACTCTCTACAGTTGAGCCACGCTCTGGGTGGCGTGGAAGGATTCTTGCGGTATGATTTCAGTTATTCGTAAAATTGTTTTTTGCTTAATGCCAACAAGATCCTCCTTACGGAGCTCTCAAATGCCGCTACTCCTCCAACCTGCAGACGTGCTGTGTAACTCTCCTAGTCACGTCGATGAGACGCTACACTACCTGCTATTACAAGCACCACCATCGAGGCCTGTTCCTGCTCTACTGAGAGCTTACTCCATATTCCTAGCTGTTCTAGGGATTGCTCTTGGAATTGGGTAGTAATATTACTTCAACCGCAGGCCCTCAGTGTTTAGGGTATTCCTTGAAGTTAACTTGAAATCGTGTCGTACTTTTACAATGCGTTCCTAGGATCAACTGTGAGGTTGACAATTGGTTCACTAAACATGTCGTCTGTGGCTTTTCGTACGTTATGCGAGCTAGTCTTGTCGAACTCTTCTCTTACAACCTACTACAAGGTTTTCATCCCCTCAGGGCCGTCATCCTGGATGCATCGATCGTCTTCCCACATCATACGCTCATCAGAAACTCAGCGCTGATAGCAGCAGCATTCCTCATAGCGACTGGGGCGGACGGCATCCTTGCTCACGGATCCTTGTACGAGGCGAAACGACTTTATGTCATGATTTTGTTCTCTCATGTGAGTTGCGAATCGTGTATGTTTCTCCTGCAAAGTGCCGTTGCCTTAGGTTCTGGTAATGTCCGAGCTCATTGCGGGTGCGATAATTCTGGGGAAGGACGAGGGTGCCACTTTCACCACTATCTGCACCGTTGCCGCTCTTGCTGCCCTTTGTGGTATACTGAGTGTTGGACAGACGGCAAAAGAGTAATAGTGATGGGGGAAGTGGAATTTCAAACTTCATCTAGCAGCATCGATGAGTCCATTGATATTTCACTGGAGGATTATCATCGTCATAGTGTTGAACTTGTGCATAGTCGGCCTTGTTAGGTATGTCAACTCATGCGACGTCAACTTCTATGAAGGCGGCTGCAATATCTAAGTTTTGTGAGTGCCTTGTTTGTCTAGTCTCCAAACGAGCAGCTGACTCGTTTATCGCTCGTATGCGGATCATCGAAGTAGCGACAGCAAGCTATATATTTGGATCACTATACACTGCTTATTCACAATATTTTTGCCTACTTGCAGCAACATTCATAGGTCTTCAGAACAGCTGTGATGTGAGTGCGGGTCCAGAGTGCTATATCCCTCGTAACACCACTGCAGTTTCGTAGATAGTATTGTATAGATGCCAGCTACAAGCGACACGTATCGCCAATAGCGTCTGTTGTGTTGTAGTACCCTTTTAATCGCGGGAGTGCAGTGTCACACTGCACAGTGCATATACACGGTATCACACTGCCAGTGTGATACCGTGTTTATGCACTGTTTGTGATCTGACTCAGATCATCTGAGACTCTCAGACTGAGGGGCAGCTTGTTCATAGCTAGTTCAGCTTGTCCGATTGCATCGGGTTTTCTATCTAGGATGTTCGTAACCGCATTCCGCGAGAATAGGATGTACAACCAAATAGGTGAAGTATTATATTTGAGAGCGCAGTGAAACGTAGTGACAGGTAAAACAAGACGGGAGGGAGTGCACGCGTGCACTGCTTTGTGTTCCCGGTTAATCGATATCATATTGCGTGCGCTGTAGTGAATCGATCGCAACACCCTCACAGGCATCAGCATTCATCGCGATTCCTCGCGCGAGTGGGCGCATCGATGTGCGGCCATGAATCATTTTTTTCTTTTCCTAGGTCGGGAGATGTCTGACGATGGTGACGCACCATCGGCCCGATGGTTAGCATCTTAGCTGCTCAACATCATCTAAGCCATCGTTAGACATGGAAGAGCACCAACTCCCAAGCTGCCAATAGCGTAAGGGTTGTGTGCTCTTCCCCTTCCCACACTCCCGTACCAAGGGTTTTTACGGAGTCACAAATATTTCGACAACACATGAGTCATCACAAACGCTTCGATATATCCGCAATTTACAGCACGATACCACCAAGATACTTTCTTCTGTACTACTATTGGACTTCGTCCAGCCGCATGAGAGTGCCGTTCCTCACCGGTTTACCCGTGTGGGAGAGAACTAATTCTGCAGTGCATGAACTAGCTGTGAAATTGAACAAAAACATATCTGCAGCTCCCAGGACCAAATTCCTCGTTCCTATTTTGTGCCCAACCGTGACGGAGTCAACCATTACAGAATCAGATTAATCCGAGACGACTCGAGAGCATCGAAGTCACTGCCCTTTCTTCCGGTAGCTCGGACTCCCCTCAGTATATATCCGATATTGAGACATCTTAGTTCGCGATTCTCCAAGAAGAGTGGATGCGGTAAGATATGTGGTCCCTGATGTTTCTCACCGACATCGAAGCACATCTCGGGTAACGGGTCTGCTCCTGCTTTGCACAGCACTGATTATAATAGGGTAGCTGGGACCCCTCACCTAAGGGTTATAACCAGCAAAGAACTTAGTGCTGCATAGATTCGCCACGGAGAACCAAGTTAGTCTCTGCTCCGTTTGCTCACTGGTAACCCAGGTAATCACAAACATTAAAGAATTGAAAACTTGGAACTCTACACTGACTTGCCATTTTATTACACATTCCCCACACTTATGCTGAGGAAACTACATAGTACGCCTTCATCAAAAGAATATAATTATGACATCGAGCAAGTACAGAGGGTGATTTACGAATAAAACCTGTGGAAACGATGCTAGAGGCTTGTCGATACAACCACGGTGAGGATGTAAGACATGTGCCCTCCCAAACACGGTTACATCAGTGAGATAGCACGATATCTCAATCTGATGTCGAGTACAACGTTGGGTAGATGAAATGAAAACCGCCGCCTCATCGTTGACATAGTTGACTATCCAAGGCCGACATCGCATTGTTGAGGGCACGCAGTGCATACGTTAGCTCCACCACGCGACGGGCTGAGGCAAGATCACTATCATCCAACTGGAGAAGACTACCCCAGGTAATGAGGAAGCGAGGGAAACGTACCTTGGAAGATGAGATAAACATAGTCTGCCATCTCCCAGAACTCCAACTGTTCGACGTCCATGAATCGACCGAAATCAGCCTTAGAAAACCGTTCTGGATAGCATACTAGCTTCTTCAACACAACCTTCTGCAGCAACGTGAGGAACTACAAAACCGTCAACTCGGGGATAGAAGGGGAGTTCACAAGACTACCTTGTTCTGCTGAGTGTAGTCGTAGTCGTGATGCGCTATACCATACATTTGATGCACATAGACCAGAATAGCCTGACGCAACGGGAGGGTACTCGGCACACTTCGCGATCCTATATGATCAGTGGCAGACTCTAGAGCTTCCGTATACCTAACAGCGTGCACGAACGACTGAAATACGCCGGAGACCGCTGGAGCAGCGACTATTACTCTCGATCTATAGCGTCCGTGAGTGAGCCATCCAGTAAGAGGTGATTCATCAGAACACGAGCCTGCTCATCCCAAGAGAACTGCGAGTCCCACGGTATGCCTCTCGATCCTCGGACGTCAAAATCCAGATAATGCAAGGGCTTACCACAATGCCCACTGAATGATAATCTATCAGAGGCAAAACTTCAAGCTTAGATATCGCTCACCATTCCTCCCGCTCCCCTATACTATCCTCCGATGAGTGGAAGGGGTGCCGGAACCTGCTCATACAAGGGGTGAAAACATTAAAAATACCCATACTACCGTCTGCAACTTGGTGCTCGAACACGCGGGTAAGCATTCATCACTGAGCTTAAATTGGACTTTTTCCCCTCAGACAGGCGAATGGCTGACGAAGATGCTTGGGGAGAGGGATCAGCCTAACGAAACGAGTCAACTCCATAACAATATACGACTTCAAACTGACCAAACTTACATTTTGAGGCTGCTTCCCACCAGTATGTCGTGTTTTCGCTTGTGATGAAGATGATGCCGGGCGGCTCGTCTGTGTAGGAGCCAACTCTCGCGCCGGGCAACCCACTTACTAACCACAGTATTCACTACCTCAGTTTCTCGTGTCTTTGGAGACGATCCGAACATCCAATAGTGATCCGCGAGTTTACCAAACGATGGATGAGAGTCCTCCCGCGTAATTGGATCCTTCGTCAAGTACTCTGAAAATGAGGCTCGTTGACATACTACGGAGAGAATTGCTATATTGCCCACCAACAGAAGGTTGGCTGTCCGACTCGTCGTCTGAGTCTCTGGCCGCATGCTCTATAAGCTTCTGAGCAGTGAATGGTACCGATCCAGTGTTATCGAGGAAGCAGCTGAGGATAGCTCTACATGTTCGCCTACGCACAAGAACAGAACATTATCACCTAGGCATTCTTTCGTTGTCAGGATCATAGGGGGGATCATCGAAAAACACTTCACCAGGCTCGAGGCGCAGATCTGGTTCCACTTCTAGACCGAGGCCAAATGCCACAACAGGAAGAGTGTGGAATGTACTGAGAAACAGCAACTTAGCGAGCCTTACAATACTCCGGAGAACGGCCCCAAACATCAGATCTTTCAACCTACCTGAGTATAGCTAGAGCGACCACTAAGTCGGCTTTCGACCAAACCTGTAGAAAGACCACTCGAATACACCCATACTACGGTTGAGAATGCAATTACTCGAAGTAAGTCCTCCATATGCCGCTGTTTGAGCTCCCAAGGCTTGTGGCATAGTATAAGATTTACGTCCTACAACGAACCCCGACTTGCATGATTGATAGAAGTATCCAAATCACACTACATGTAGAGCTCTGAGCTGCTTTGGTATAGTCGTCGGGTCCGTTAGCCAAGCTACATCACCACCGGAGGCCCTGAAATGAGGATGATGCACTCGTATGCACACGCTATTCACATGCACTACAGGAAAAGCTCCATTTGATTCCGAACTAAATACTCGCAGTTATGCCGAGAGGCTGCCATCATGGCTATGAAGTGCCTGAGATAAGGAATAAAAACAATTACGATGCACTAGTGGGAGCCTCGGTGTGTTACCTCCAGTGGAGCTGCAAGCCTCCCTCTTGAAACATGAGAATATCCATGGTTCTAGCGTAGTTTACATAGAATCGTGGTACGGTCGATATAGCCCATTCCTAAGGGGCGGGGAGGAGTGCACACTCTAGATGACGTAACTACATGATATTATTATTACTATGTGCGTTATCCTGGCAGCTGAGGAGGAGTCAAATAGTGACCAATCCACAGCTGGCACCGTCACAAGGTGGGGATCTGGGAGTTCGAGCTCACAACAGTTTTGAGCTGGCAGCTTACTCTTCGAAAATCTGCTGACCTCCGTATTGATATAACGAGCTGCGACTGCAATACCAGAGTTCCTCTGAGCAGCTAGGAAGTTCTGGCAACAACGCGAGATTTGTATGACCGGTCACGAGGGCTAAATGCCTCATCGTCCTACATCAGCCACACTCCTTATGTCTGCGAATCTACACGTATATCTCAAGCGCAGGAGGATTCTGATGGCCTGGTCTATCTCCGATGGTATGGAACCTGTACTACGGCGAGTGGTGGCCAAGGACCGTAGCCACGATGTGATTTCTTGAAAAGCTTCCAATCTGAAGAGACAAGAACAAGTTGGCCTTCCTATGATTGGGTTATCGAACTCCCATTACCTAGCTCTCGGAGCATCAATAGAGAGCTGTAAGTCTCTCAGACTCTGTACAGTAACACGAATAACAGCTACATCAGTGTTGGGCACGGTGGGTGACCTGAGTAAACATCGTCAAGAAATCGAGCAACGTTTGCCTCTATTTGAAGAAGCCATGCACATTCCAGTATTCCAGACCAGGCATGAACCGCATTGAGCGACTCTCCCAACAAGCCCCAAGATAGAATTGATGAACCCATCCCAGGTTCTATGACTACAGGGCACCAACAGGGAGTCCCTCAGGGAAGTAGACCCACAGATTGTCGTCGAAGGAACTTACTCATCCTGCGACATCAGGTGAAACACGTCCTTTTCTCAGTAATGCGGCGCGAGCTCCTGGCGGGTTAATTCACACAGAGAACCACCGAACTGAAAGCAGAATGTTCCCACTCACTCACACAGACTAGTAGCCGTCTTCCACTTCGGGCGCGCGCGATATTAACGGCGCAGGATCAACAAGAGGGCTGTGTCGATCACGAATACGGGCGCCTCCAGATAGCTAAATTATCAACTGACACGCGTTCCCATTCGAGTTCGACGTGGACATAATTGGATCTTTATCCCTCATTGGGCCCTTCGTAGCTCCGGCAAACCTAAGATTCGGCCGTAGGTAATCATATTTGATTATTATTTAACGAATGTTCCTCATCCAGCAACCTGCTAGCGCTGTGATATCGAGGACCACTAATAAGTACGGTCACACGGACCACCACTCCTACAAGTCGGATGTGCCTCTGCAATACCTTCACTCAGCCGGTCAGAGAGGCTGGTCTCACTTCCAGCTGCCTCAGCTGAATAAGGGAGGCTTCCAAGAGAACACTAATCTAGGCATCAAGGCAAACAAGGCAATCTCTAAGGGCTTGCGTCTCCCTTCGGGTTCGACTTCCTCCCAGTCCTCTCATGTCATCGTGGACATGCCTATGATGTCCCCAAGCTCAATCTCTCATACTAAGACTGGTAGAAGACACAGCATTAACAAGAAGCACCGTTGTGCTGTATGCCAAGGCATCCAGAGTAGCAACGTGAACCCGAGTCTGAAGGTTCACATTGGGACTCTCCCTACTAAGCACATAGACAGGACTCCTCTACCCGAGGATGCTTCTGTTAGTCCCTTCGACGAGGAGTTCCCGATCCTTCAGAGTCACAAGATGAGTAATGTCAACCCGCACTTGACTGTGAGCATTGGTAGTCTACCCAGCAAGAAGATCGGCTCAGCTCCTATTCAAGAAGACTTTGCTGTGAGCCCATTTGACGATATGTGGGACATGCTCACTGACCAGAAGACTCTGATTCAGAGCAATGTCAACAAGAATCTGCGGGTTAGGAGCAACACATTCCCAACCGTTCACGCTGACTCGACGCCATTGGACGAAGACAACACTGTGAGTCCCTTCGACGAAGAGTGGCCGATCCCAGCGGACGAGAACCGTCTTCAGCATGTTATGACTAGCAATGTGAACCCGACTCTACCGGTTGCTCATAGTACTCTGCCTACTAAGAAGATCGACATGAGGCCCCTGCCTGAGGACGACAGTGTTAGCCCTTTCGACGAACATTTCCCTCTACCAAGCTCTTACTGGGAGAGTAACGTGAACCCCACGTTACGTGCTAAGGATGGTACCATGCCCACTAAAAAGTGTGACACGAGACCTCTTCCTGAGGATATGTCGGAGAGCCCATTTGACGAGGATTTCCCTCACCTACAGGGCTACTGCCAGAGCAATGTGAATCCCGACCTCACTGTTAACATCGGTACATTCCCAACTAAGAACGTCGACTACTCGTCTCTGCCAGAAGATCCTACGGTCAGTCCTTTCGACGAGAGCTTCCCGCATCTCCAAGATGTGGACGTGCCTTCTCAGACTTGGATGCAGAGTAATGTTAATCCGAGTTTGAGAGCTAGAGTGGGTAGCTTTCCTGCTGCGGAGCACATTGACACAACCCCCTTGCCTGAGGATACTACTGTGAGCCCCTTCGAGGAGGAGTTCCCTCGGTTCATGGGTCAGGAGAGTATTCATGACTTCAGGAGCTACTCGCCCTTTGAGGAGGAGTTCAACTCTATTGCAAATTGGCCAGTCGCTCGCAAGCGCAGTGAATCTTTCAATAAGCAGCGCCGCGTCACTCAAGTGAAGCAGGGTTTGAAGGAGACCTTGATTCGTCTTGGCTCTATAGATAAGTACGATTTCGTCAAGGCCACCCACTGGCATCTCGATAAGCAGACTCAGCCTCATGAGGAGATTGACCAGACAGCTACCACTATGCCGACCGATTGGTTGACGGCTGTTGGGGTGACGCCTCTAGCGCAAGCACCGGGGCACACTGCCTTCCCAAGAATGACGCCAAAGGCAACTGATATTCAGCCACCGAAGGGGACTGGCCGCATTGGGACGACTGGGGTTATCACTAGTCAACCGTCCTACATTGCAAGCCATCTTGAGTCGGCTCGGCGTCAACATCAACAACCAAGCGGAGTCTGAGGCTCAACTTGAAGCTCCTTAAAGTCTTGGTGTGGTAATTGATCACACAAGAGGAGCTATTACATTTGTCAGCACTCATTCATCATTATTTAATACCCTTTTCACATCATCAGCTTGAAATGCGTCTCAGATGCATAGATTTCGTAACCGGATTTCCCGACTCTGGACTTCAAGTTGCGTTAGCTTCTAGTATGCATACGTGTTGTCGTGTGATTTCACTGCATAGAGTTCACTTATTGGCTTCGCCACAGGCTTCAATATTTCAAGCTCAACAGAAATATCAATGAAAAAATTATGGGTACAATACTGACTAGGACGCCAAAAAGTGTTCCGAGGCCGCAAATACACTCTTGCATCATAGAGACATCTCGATAGCCTCCTGTTTGGCACCTTGCATGGAAACAGGCATACACGCCGAATCCGACGCATTTGGGCTCGTTCATGATTCTTCCGACTCACTCGGAAAGGTTTCCAAGCCCAAGTCCAATAGATGATCCTCGCCACTTTTCACGTACTCGTCACACTGCTTCATGATCGTTTTGATCCTAGAAGTTCATCAGAATGAGACAAATCTGGATAGAAATGGATGATACTCACTTCTTGTTAATCTCGAGTGTCAATTGGTCTGCACCAGCGTCATAATAGAGCATTATAGAATCCAGTTTAACTGAACGGAGCATTCATTCAGCTGGACATCATGTCTCACCGCCGAAGTCATTGAGCTTCTTATTGATACAATCATCTGGATCCTTCCAGTGCGGAAGCTGCCCTGTATGGGTCTCACAATCATACTGAACCAGAAGTGGACCATGATCGCCATCGAGTGGGACACCTGATATTCCTCCCGCTTGCAGTCCACCTGCTCCAAGAAGACCTCGAGGTAAATGTCGAAATGTGTATCATCGTCGATTGTTATGCGTCCATTTCGGACCTAATTATTCAATGAGGGCTGGCCCCGTGTAAGCTTCGGAGCTCACTAGTTCTTTGTAGTTGCCACAGTAGGCTCCATGGGGCCGTTCGTCCGCCAAAGCTGAACCGGCTGCTAGGTAGAATAGCAATGCGCGTAGCATCATGAACTGACTCGAGAAACACTTCTTACGAACTATTGCTCTTGAACACAACAACAGTAGGGAGAGTTTCTAATTCACAATCATCACATCAGGTGAGAGCCTTACAGCTCATCTTCAGAGGAGAGCTCAGCAAACGGATCGGCAGGTACGAACTCGGCACCGACGTTGACCTAAAGCTGTGTGATAGACGTGGAGAATGTTTGTTTCTTACATTCTCGCATAATACGAAGCAACCGTAGCCAGGTCTAAAGGAATTAAAGTAGGTCCACAATCGAGCTTGATTGCGATACCCGTTGGGGCAGCTGAAGTACTCCTTTCCGTCAGGTCCAACACCATCGGATTTTCCCTGAGGCTCATCTAAGCGAACCCCAACCCAGGAACCTGCTAACGACAATGATAGTAGACTATGCTGGTTCACACTCGCCTCTTGGAAGTCCTTTAACCGGACCGAAATAAGCCACCTCTCCCCGTCGTCCGCCAGGATTTACCTCACATCGCTGGCCCACTGCATATCTACAAGCTTCCACCAAGCTTGTGACGGTAGGAGTAGTAGGCCTACATCTCCCGCGCATTTTCTGGGGTGGGCGGTCTCTCAGGCACGGCAGCATCCTGGTTCTCTGCACAACACAAGCGCTCACATAGCTATTCAATGGCTCCAACGCGGCCCACCATCCGGTGTTGTCTGCGGCCCGAACTTAAGCTTGAAATTCGGATTTTTCTTCCTCTGCTCTCTGATATAATGCCTTAGTGTGTTAGTACGCTTATCGTAAGTCTCGTCATCCATAACGTATTTATCAACCTACAACGAACAGAACAAATATGTTGCGAGTGAGCCGATCTCACGTACCAGATCTAGATTCTCCAAAGCCCCTCCGGCAGAGACACTGTATGGGTCAGTGTCCTTGATGTGGATCGAGTCGCCGTTTTGAGCACCAAAGTCCCTTACACGAACAGATTTGATAAAATGCACTCATCGCAGCAACCACCTTAAAGTGAGCTTGTCATCATAGAGGAAGATTGTATTCCCATCCGCACCCCTTAAAAATAATTGCATATGATCCACAGTGGTTCCATTCCTCTTGTAAAGTTTCTGCTTCACCGACTCTGAGTCAACGTAAACCTCTACATGCCACAACACAGTCGTGCTAACCAATGGTAGCAGCAAGGGAGAGGGTGGCATCATGTACTCGAGCCTGTAAGTTGCTGTGGGTAACGTCGACTCGTATGAACCCGTTTGCCAAACCGTCATATCTACCAAAACTCTCTTATGGCACATTTCTGAAGCGATTGATTTGCCACCTGGTATGATCGGCTGCTGTGACGTAATCCCGCAGTCCGCTGGTGAGTGGATGCATAGTCATAATAGTCAAATAACTGACACTCTACGACTGTGGACAAGGGGAACACGACTAGGTCACGAAGGTGATACCTCAATTCGGCGGCATAAGGGTGAAATTGATATTGCCGCGAAGCATGTACAAGTATGACAGTTTTAATACTACAATTTTTCGGTGCTACGTTATGACGATCCGAACTCGCGCATCCAGTCCTCAAATCTGAGGCATTCAAAACAACAACTCTCTCATGTATTCGAGAGAGTCGGTACTTTCTCAAGTCCTCGGTTCCGACCGACTTCTGTACGTTCTTCACCGCTTGCTCGAAGTTACCCATAGTTACGGGTCGTCCTTCAACCTCAGCTCGTAATCGATCGACATCAAGCCCACCTTTGGTCGCCTACCCAACCGAATCCCTATGGTGACCTCGCTACTATGTCACTACTCCCTTTGTCCGAGCCTTCCTCAATCTATCCCTCAGGTTCATCATAGAAGCCTCTCTGCAAACACTACAGATGTCAGCACCAGAATACCTGCTCCATGACTGTTGGCTGCAAGCACGACTACCCAAGTGAAAGCTCACCCCTCCGTTCGTTTGACGAGCCGTCGGAAATCCACGTCACTAGCGAGCTTTATACTGGAACAATTCACCTGATACACTTAGCGATGATAAACCACCAATGTGTCGATTCCACCACCTTGAACATGCCAAGCCTCGCCTCCTCGTCAGGCAGGGGGATATATATACGTTTCTCAAGTCGTCGTCGAAGGGCCTCGTCGATTTCCCAGGGGTGATTTGTCGCGCCTAGTACCTGTTCAATATCAGTACAGAGAGAACACCACAAACACAGCGCGGGATGTACGAAACTCCGACATGCATACGACTACAATTTCCCAGGCGAATTCCTACGATCTGCCTTGCGACAGGAGAAGATCCTCGAGCAGCTCTCCAAATCTATGCCTCAGTGACATGTTCCATCAACGAATTGGGACACGAATTCGCCTAACTACCATGACAGTTTTAGGCGGGGACGCTCCATCTTCCGCAGACCCCGACTCAGACGATGGATCTTGCCCTGGAGAAGAGGAACACCAAATTAGGATCATCACCCGGCAGAAGTGAGTACCTTCCTCATGATGATCTCGTGGCTGCTGCTGCTGTTTCGGTTGAATAGGATCAGTACTCGAAACACCATCCATCTGTACCAGCAGCTCGCTCTTCACCCGCCGCGAAGCCTCGTGCTCCCCAGGGTCTCTGGTTCGCACGCCCGACCAATATCAAGGCCAGGAACAAGATCTCTCACTTACCCACGTTTGCTACCTATAGAATCGATTTCATCAAAGAAAATTGTAGTCGGGGCATAGAATCTAGCCATCTCGAAGAGTAACTGATCGATCGGATATCACAACAATGATATCTACGAGTACCACAGACCCGTATGAGCTTCTCCGAGTCCCCGCGGTATTTATTGGTGACTGTGCTGCAGCTTACATTGAAGAAGGTAGTATCTAGCCAGGCATGGTTGACCCACATGGCCGAGAAATCCTTTATTACCGCACTCAGTGGCTACCGCTTTCGCTAACATCGTTTTACCAGTGCCAGGTGGGCCGAATAATAGAACGCCTTTCCACGGCCGCCGAATACCCTACAGCCGCCTCATGTGCTGCTGTACTCGCATGGATGAGGTACTCATTTACTTGGAAATATTCCGGCATCAATAAGGGTAGCACAACTGCCTCTTCGAGGAGTTGCCGCGCAGACTCTAGACCGGATATCGAGCTCCATCCGATCTGTTCATGCGTAACCAAACTCTATAAATCGGCCGTTATACCTGGGGATTCTTCTCGACGCAATCTCGTTCGAGCATCATGATGAGGTCAGCATCTGGGCCTTCACCACTAGGGCCGTAGACATGCTCGAGGAACCCCCGCCGTTCACAGGCGCTCCATATTCCTCCACCGTTGTCGCTGGTGCCTCCATTTGATGCACTCTCGTGAGCCTACAATCCTTGGCAAGAACAAACATAATGTGCTAGTTCATACGACCTGTGGAGGAAGAGGCTGCAACCAAGGCTTGCTGTAGTTCCTCGAGCTGTTTCCACGACTGGCGTCCCGACCTTCTGCTATAGGGCTAGCATCCACTGATCCATCTAAATCGGAGCCCATCTGGCATAAGCCAAATTACACTGAGGTACTCCGCGTGATTGACGTGTGAGGCTGCTGTCGGCGTCTCCTCTCAGGTACTGGCGCTTTGCGTGATGATGCTGATGCCTGACCAGCACGTTACATCATCTTACTCCATCGATTTCGAACAATCAACTCGCACAAACACATATTTCATAGTAGAGGACTTAGATCAATGCCGATATCAACAGCCCCCAGGCCTTCCTTAGTTACCAAGTCTCGAGGTCCCTGACCACGCCAGCCGCCACCCCCTCCCCGAACCCTCCTTGGCAGGGGAGGTGGTGGGCTCCATGTCGCTCCATCCCTGGACCCGACCGATCGCTACAGGACATGTTCATTCCACTTCTATTAATCGAGACCATACCTCCTCATCATCCGCGAGTACATGCGGCTGGGGTGGAGCTCCAGGTGGCCTCGAAGCACAAGCTCGCCTTATCTCCGACCTAGACGGGATCACATGCATGACTCTGAGACTCCAGCGATCTAGGACCATTCCGCGGAAATTGCTTTAACGACGGCAACCTCTTCCGATATCTCTGCTTTTATTGCAAGCCACTCATCGGTGTAACCCACAGGCAACGTCTTGATATGTCGATTGATTGTTGCCAACGCCTGAGCCCCATCCATCCTACAGCAGCTTCCCGTACAATGAGGCACACTCCTCTCGCTACATGATCATACTGCATTAAACTCTCCGATTGTAGCCCGATGCCCGCAAGGTCCCGCGCTCGAACTAAGGTACCCTCGACACCGTCGATGCCACGGTCCTCATATCCACTGGATGGACACCCGGCCGCTCTGACGTTAAGCACCATAAATCAAATTCAGTTTACCCAATCACGATGCATGTAGAAGATGACGACTAACTCGAGAGAATTATTGATGGAAACTTATCAAGGAAGATCAACTAGCTCACATGCATGGGGCTCCTCCTCGTCGTCTCCCATCTCGGCTATGACCGTCCCTTCCTCTGGATCATTGCAACGATGGGTTGAACACTTCCCGCGAGATGTTGCACTTACCAGATACCCTCGGAAAAGATTCAAGAGAGGCGTGTACCTGTGCATGAGGAGCAGTTCAGGAAAATTCCGATAGATTTCACTTGAGTAGAACATCGAGCCTCTCGAACGCTACTCGATCAGTGTGGGACCATCTCAGCTTGCTGCTCAGCCTCACACCCACGCCTACAAGTTGTGTTACGATAAACCGCAAGAAAATGCCCAGCTGGTCCACATTCTCTTCTCTACAGTCCATTTCCTGCCGCAAGACCGCCAGAGGTATTCCGATCAAATCATCCAAGCCGTTGCGACGACTTCGAGGGATCTCAATCAACAAGGGCCGACAATAACCGTGAATGACACAGGAAGCACGCAGGCCATATGAGTACTTGGCCGATCCAAAAACTGATGTAGGGTCTACCGCCAGAATCCAACCAATAACCCAATCGTTATCCCTCAGCTGCACCCGAGCAACGGAGTCAGCGAGATCATCCACATCTGAGCCTTGAACACTTGTCACCACCGGTTGGGCCAGCTGACCCGATTCATAGTCGTGGAGGTTCACTTTCGCAGCTCCTCGTGTAAGGCAGGGAGCGTATCGATCCGTGAAGCTATTGGAAGCTGAATGTGACTCAGTCCAAGGATGCAGTTGAGAAAGTGGACCTCTGCTGATGACGCCATTCATAACATGAATTTTCGATACTGAACAGGACTCGAAAGATTCGTGGAGTTCGAATTGTGACGATTGACCGCGCCCGACAACTGCATACACCTCATCTCTCAACGATTTGGAAGGTCGAACTGTTGCATGAGAAGTATGGAACAACCGAATTAGAAGAAGGATCATTAGACGTGAATATGACCACTATCGCAGCGAATTTCGAATTACGAACGTGTTACAAGAGTCTACATGAATCCGTGTACTTGCGTGCAATCTGCAATCACCGGGAGTCACTGACCAATCCTCCAATCATTTGTCGGAGACCATGATGATCTTTGATGTTGGATATACACGAGATAACAGATAAACGGAACGGATACACGCAGGCATCGTTTACTGAGGACACTATTCAAAAGAGACAGCGGGCGCAAGGTCACACAAAAAAGCTATCCGCGCTAGCTTAGAAATTGTATCTGGAAACAAACCTATTTTCCCGATATTTTGGCTTTGAGCAATATGATACGATCTGCCACTGCGGTTGTCCTCTCCATCTTGGGCCTCTGGTTGAGTGGTTGTAGCTCCGACTTGGAAGCGAGAGGACCAGAGCCTCTGGGTTCTGGGGGAACTACTAATGCTCCGTACGATCCCAATACCGATTCTAACTATCCACAATATCCGGTTGTTACTACAACTCAGTCACCTTGCCCACAAGGAGACGATTTTTGTCGTAGTCAAACCGTTAATGGCGGTGACTTCAGCAATTCTTTCTGTAAATACTGGCTGACCAATGAAGCCTATTGCCAGGGTCCTCCAGGCTCTACTGACCCTGAGCAGCTCAATGTTCCTTGTGAATGTCCTTGTATATCAACTATTAGTGTTACATCTACCACTACTACTCTGAGTCCATCGACCACTGAGCCGCCAAGCACTTGGTCACCGTCGGCTGAATCGACTACAGTTACTACTTCAACCACTGATTGAACAGTGGCAAAGACCACTGTTCTAGAGACGTTTCAATTTTCACATTGATTGTTGAATTCATTTTCAATGAGATGAATAGTTGCCCAGGATTTCATTGATCAATTGAAGAAGACGCAAAACACATAAAATAGTATCACGTGAGTAGCTCAATGGTAGGGGGCAGAGACGGAAATGCATCCAAAGAGAATTCCGCATTCTTGTAACGTTCGATATCTTCCTCCGATAGCCCCTTCGACGGTTTGATCTCAGGCAGTAGATTTAAAGGTGTTCGGGGAATCCATGATGGCATCTTGTTCGAAGGAATTCCAGGCCGAACCACCAAGCTGTCCGGCCATGACAACGTGGGGAGAAGCGAGGACTGTTGAGTTGCACCAAAGGGCCCGCTAGTGGCACCGAATGACGATGGCTTGCCACCGAAGGCGTTACCAAATCCCCCGAAAGAGCCCGTTGCAGAGGATTGACTGCTTCCGAATCCACCAAACGGGGATGTTGTTGAGGTAGCTGCTGGTGTTGCACCAAATGGCGAGGGCTTCGGCCCCGCTGCAGGACCGAAGGGCGATGATTTAGTCTGGGCAGATGCTCCTCCAAACGGTGAGGGAGCGACAGCATTTCCGCTGAAAGGCGATACCGATTTCGCCGTTCCCTCAATACCAAAGTATTTCGACAGAGCGGGCTTAGAAATAATCTTCTCGAGACTTGCTTCCGTCTTGGCGATAGTGTCTCGTAAATGCTGGTTCTGAGGGTCCTCATACCGAAGCTCTTCGAAGCTGACGTCGATGCCGGGCGGCGTCAGGTTGCCCTGACCATCCGGTCCAAAGGACGACAAAGGGTAAAGCTCGCCCTTGTTCAACGCGGTTGCGATGTTCTGAGGAGCAGCGAGGAACTTACTTGATACAACCATGGAATACATTCACTTACTTCTCTCATTTTCCGGTTGCTCTCGTCCGGTACCAGATTCCCAACAACAGTAGCGGCAGGCAAAACGCCGGATGGTGGCACTATGGTTGTGGCAGGTGCAGTCAGATTCCCAAGAGTTGAAGCAGAGGGGTTCGCGTTGCTCAACTGTGAAGGCGATTGCCCGAATTGTGATGGTTGGGTTGCTGCACCACCACCAAAAGGACTCGGGGATACACCCGATGTAGTATTCCCAAAGGGACTTGGCTTCGTCCCCATTGCGTTACCAAACGCCGATGGTTGTGAGCTTCCAAAAGCGGCCGCCCCAAATGTTACAGGCTTCGAGCTCCCGAACGGTCCAGAACCACCACCTGGTGTGCCGCCAAATGTAGGAGGAGTCGGCGACGACGATGTGATGTTGCCAACACCAAAGGGAGTCGTCGCCGCGACGTTACCACTACCGAAAGGACTTGGTGCCGTGACGTTGCCAGCACCAAAGGGAGTTGGTGCCGGTGTGGCTGTAGCTCCGAAAGGGTTCCCAGACACTTGCCTGCCTGCGCCGCTGCCACCGAATGGCGAAGCAGACACTGTGCCACCTGTGAGGGAAGCCTGCTTAATTGAGCCGCCCTATCGTATGACCAACCTCCAAATGGATTAGATGATGAAACTCCTCGACGCTGGGCATGAACGAATTTACAGGAGTCTCCGTACCGACAAGTCCCCTGAAGAAAAACTCTTGCACACGATTCAATAAGCTGAGCCAACGATCCCGAGATTACAGTCTCTTCCCAGTTGCGGCAAGGCTTATTGTTGTGATGCTTGTTAGAGGGCATCACTCCAGAGGAACAAACTAAATACAATCGATCTCCGCTCCATCCCGAATGAAACAATACAGTCAGTTGACGAGGGAATGCAATGCATCAAGTTTGGTTTCCCGATGAAAAGGCAATAGACAGAATGGTCATTGATCCCATCATGCAGTACAGTGCTCTGCACGACGCATCAGCCGCTACCGATCGGCGACGGTGGAGCGTCACGTATGACAAAAATATCCGAGAGACAACCTCAACTGAATTTGCGCATATTTTTGCATTTGCTGAAAGGCGCGTCATAGACGAGGCATGCATCTACTTTATCGATTGCAGGGCCACATGCTTGGAAGTATATCGTGTGCTCCACATAAGCCAGATTAGGACACCAAGGCGTTTGCAACCATGCAACCGATACCACTACTTCGCCTCTATTCAAGTCAACTATCTCCAACCGTGCAAGATAGAACACTTCAGAATCAGAGGTATGATTGTGTGAACTATGACGCACGATGGCCAGCAACGGAGGAGCTGTCTCTTCCCTCTCTTTAAAATGATCCTCTATCATTGAGCTCTGCACCATCGCCATTTGCCGTACTTGGCCACGCATCTTCATAGACATCCATGTATCACTAGATAACGATCGGTATAGTAGAGTCTCCCCAATGCAGACCAAGATGCAAAGCTCCCCATTCGAGTCCACGAATGCGTCTACCAGCATGCGCCTGAACTTCATAGATTCTTTTGCATCGCCGCAGAGGTCGAGAGACGATACTCGCACCACCGATCCAACCAAGGTTAACACTGTTATACCATAGCTGTGCATGGGAGCCTCCCAGCGCGAAGAGCCGAACACAATATGATTTCCTCGACTCACCATATAGTCTGGTGGCGACCAATCCGGCGATAATGTCCACATATGGTCGACCTTATATGGAGGGGCTCTGTGGCGTATGCGCGAAAGCTGCTGATCTCTAAATGCATAGACACATCCCCGAACCGAGTTGACACAGAACGCATCGACCGGTTCGCTGCTAACCCTTTCGAGGCCTTCACCTTCTCTATACTTGTAGAGGACTCCGCTTTGGCCGGCACCATCCCGGAAGGTCAAGAGAACGGACATGTCCCTATCATCCACGCAAAAGTGTTTGATCCAAAAGCCAGCTTGAGCAGACACTTCAAGCCTACGTGGTGGCTCTATTGTTTCACTGAGTAACCGAACTGTGCCTGCTTCTCGGAGGTATTGCCACACGTTGTGCTGGAGGACTTCCGGTATGGCTGGCTTTAGCCGATCAAGAGATGACAAATAGATAGTCAGACGGTCAGTCATTGGGCGCCACAGGGCAATTGATAACAGAAATTGAGGGAATCACTTTGAATAAAGTCAGAACTGATACAACACGAATTCTCTGAGGACCCCTCAAAGAAGCTGCGAATCCCCCGATGGCCAATGCCTCTGAAACCCGAAACCCGTGAGAGGTCGAAATGACACTAATCAAGCCATGGAGAACCCACATCTGTTCCCAGGGAGCTAGTAAAGGTCATAAAAGTATGAAGACTGAACACTAAAATCCAAGTTATGAAACCAACAGTTGTTCGTACGGAGTGTTGTGCCTCACATAGTGAATATGTTGGAGAGATGCATCCGAGCGAAGCGTTCGCACTCCTCTTGACATCGCACCAACGGCATTGCGGGCTTCGCGAGCAGAAGATAGAACTCACGGTTCAACGGCGAGACCTTCGCACAAGCCCAGCCCTGAGATAGAGAGTAGTCCACAGTAAGCACTAAGTTCCTCTTACGTTCCCAGGTGATTTGTAGCAGATCTCACGGCATCGACTGCCTTTAGGAAGGCCAGCAGCATCCAGATATTCTTCCCCATGCACCTGTGGAGTGAGAGTAGCTACTCGGTGAATCTCATCATCAGCGTTCTCACCAAAACTTGTCGCAGAGTACTGAAGAGCACTAGGTCCTCCGGACTAGACTCGTTCCCTATGAGCGCCATAGGGGCTTCGTCGTTGAGCGAAGAGGAACCGTCATTAGACACCCGCAAAGCACGGTTCACATTGTTCGCATACGCAAACCTGTACAATCCTCAAGTCTTCAAGACCCAGCCTGCGTGATGCATTACTTGTATTCATCCGTCAAACTCATAGCTTGACTAAATTGCTGTCGTACAAGTTGAGCAACTTGACTAACGCTTTTGGACTCTGCGACCCATCGCTGCAGCGAAGCGAAAAGCTCAGAATCCGTTTCCTATAGGAATTCACAATGAGAATTGGTCACATCGACAAGCATGGTACCTTCTGAACAATGTCAATAATGAAGACGAACATGAGACCGTGATAAAGAAGCGCCACGAGCCTGCCTTTCCCAAGTGATGGTAAGTGCACTATAGGCGTGACGCCATGGTCAGTTGAGCTGGCTCCGGGTCCAAAGAGGAATCTGACGCTTTCCTTACAACTACTACGAGAGGGTGCACTCTCACATTCCCGCTTCGCCCTCTGCCATATCCTCTGTTACGTGGTTCGTACGACAAAACGATGAGGCGTTCTCCGCAATTCCGTTATACGGTGGCTCACACAACTTCATCGCCGAAACCATGCTCGTCGGGGCGTCCGAACGAAAGCTGATAAAATGAACACTTCAAGTCATAGCAGTACTTCGCGATTGAGCTCACCCAATTATACTCGTAGAAACGATGTACGAGTAGAGAACCTTCATGTCTCCTAAGGGTATGGAGGAATGGAGGAGATGGGCGTCGAATAAAACCTGCAGCATACAGGTTCACGGCGACCCAAGGACGGACATTCGAATTCTATTACCGCTGACGCCTTGATATCTGAGTGCTTCTCCTGCAAAGAAAGTAGCGCAGCTTGTATTAAAACCAATGTGTTCCGCTCGACTGGTGCTGAAGAGCTAGCTCAACTTCCCGAATCTTCGAATGCATACTACATACCATAGCTAAAGCCGGTGAGTTCTGTGAAAAGCCCCAAAGGTCCGTATCCCAAAACCTCAATGTACCTGCCTTCATTTAATCATCGACGTCTGACATAAAGGACCTTCTTACGATGGCACAAAGCTGTGCAAGAGACTGCCGAGCTTATTGATCATGTTGGCCCTGTCGTCCTCAATCTCCAAAAACCTATGACGATACAGGCATCATGGCGGCCATCCAAATAGTACACAGCACTTTCGAATTGGCCCATGCAACAAGGTGAACATCTCATGCATGTTCGACAGGACTGCCCCAAGAAGGGGCCCAGATATATGTGGATCCTCGTCGCTCTCTAATGGTAAGATAGAACGTGTCTCTTGCTGCCGCTGACTCTCAGAGCTAGGAGCGGACTCAGGTGAAGATGGGATAGACTGCCCTAACAATCCCTCGATATCGATAAGATGGAGCTTGTAGTACACTCACCGGTGCTCGATCCTCCCAAGGGTTCCCGCTGAACAACCAAGGTGAACCAGATGTCCTTTTCAACCTGAGGATTTCGGATAATAGGTCGATCCTGGCAAACAGAGAATGCTGACCTGCTTAACACCAAGCGCCAGGTCCCTAGTGGTGATAAGATTCACATCATCGTCACAATCTGCCTCCCTCCGGAAGGCCTGTGCAAAGTGAACTACACCCTCTATCAAGGATGCTTGGGTTCGTTGTTCAATGGGTGAATGCTTGGACGACGGACTAAGGTGATATTCTCAATTGGTTGGACCATGGATCACCAACTGACTAGTAGTAGATCTGCTTCGCTTGAGCTTCGCGGGTATCCTCATCTTCTGCCGAAGCCAAACTTTCCGGTGTCCTGTCCTGCACCTTGAGCACAGGGCTATACACGAAAAAGGACCTGATAAGCAAAGGTGGTACTCCCGAATCATCAGTTCATCCGACTTCCCACATCCCACTTTATTATAGGCCCACTGCATGTATCAGTGGATTGAGGTAAAGCTTCTTTATCATCCTGTGCTGCGAACCATCGGTGCATTTCGCTGGATGCTACCTTCCCAACTAAAGTAGGAAGACTTACTCAGAGGCTGTAGACCGAAATTGATCCTATTTATCTCTTCCAATGGGCTAGAGTAGGCCCCACGATTGAGAACAGTTAGCATCAGACAGACCTTAACGCAACGAAACGTAGGGACAACTTAGAGACCATTAACATCACATAATGGGGCCACAGGTCTGGCAGGTGAACCTTGCAGTACGAAGTATCCTTTACCAACGACTAGCAATAGCTACCAATGACAAAAGCTGATTCCATCACATGATGAAAAAAACCAGAATCGTTATCATTTCGTAAGATAAAGGCGGTTTACCTCACACCGCATCAAAATCTCCTGGTCACAACTAATCCGAGACACAGAGCGATGCCCGACAAATTAATCGTTCTAGAAGGACACACTCCCTGGGAAGCCGTCTTCATCATCATCAGTCTCAGATTTTCACCGTGGCATAATGCCTTACTGTGGCATCAGCTGAGAGGGCATGCGCTAACTCCCCATAGCATTCAACGAGGTCCTCTCCCTGAGCCAATTTTCCCCATCCCCCGCGAAGTAGGATCGACCAGGCTCTCTGATGCTAGACCTATTTCCATAGCTAGGAGAACTTTAGAGACACTAAGAGATATTGGCAAGCGAAGACAAAGATGGCTATCGCTCTCAAATGCCCTGGACCGGATAGGGAGTGGATTGGCTTAGACTACTCTAGAAATCTTCGGGAGGGAGGAGGTAGGCATAGCATACATTACGAAAACAAGCAACCTACAAGCTGATAAGCATCAGGTTGTACAGTTGTACTTTCCAATAACAAAACCCAAAATGCCCTTCGCATTCGCAAATTATCGTTAGTGACATCCAACGTGAATATCAGTAGTAAGTTGGCTAGACATCACACATATTCGAGCGAAGCTGATTCCTCTTTTTCAAGCAAGAGGATAGTGAGACGAGATCAAACAAGTTGAACTCCAGGCTTTGAAACACCGAGGCGCACTGCTTCCCGAACCGTTTAATTACAACGGAATTATCAAGGACAGCGAATGCTTCTCATATTGATGTTGGACATGAAATTGCGTAATGACCAGTTGGAGTGAATAGATTTCCGCACGGCGAAAAGTGACAAGATGAGTTCCCAAGTGTTCTGCCTTAGTCGATATGCGAGAGTTAATATCTACTTCAATGTGGACAACCAAGCTGCAAGCTCATCAGAACACTCCTGAGCACCAGCCTAAAAGGCTCGAAGCCTGATGGACTTGGTGTCATGAATGAGCGTGCCACTCACCGAGACCACAGGAGCCAGCCACTCGTTACGTAATAGTTCGCTCGCAGATGGACGTTGTAAGGGATCCCTCGCCAACGTGTGTGTCACGAACCCACAAGCACCGGAGGTAAATCTGAAAGTCATGCACAAACTCTAGAGAAAGCATGAAACGCATTGATGAAGCTCATGTGGCTGCGCTATCCGCTTTGATACCTTTATACAGACTAAAAAATGAAGACTAGTGAATCACCTGCTCTTGTTTAATCGAGGCTCGGGCCTATGGCATAATGAATCATAGAGCTCTATGAAGCCACGACTAATTGAGAATGGATTAGTTCCGGTCAACAGCTCGAAGGCCACGACCCCAAGGGACCTGATTATTACTATAATAGCTCGCGAATACCAGCCCTTGTAATACCAGATATCTGCGGAGTAAGTGTACTCCTCCCCCGCGGCCCTCTCTGGTGACATGTAAAGCGCAGTTCCTTGAAAGCCATGGAATGCTCCCATGCAACTAACTGCGACCTACCGACGAATGTAGAACAGATTCCATAGGTCGAGCTAAGATCCTTTGAAATACCAAAATCTGCCAACTTCACCTAACATTCAAAGACAAGACATGGGGCTCGGAGTCTGGGGACTGAAAATACATGTCCATCAGAGCATAGTAGTATATTCTCCGGCTTAATATCGCGATGCAATGAATGGTTGGAATGAAGGAATCTACTATCAACACAGTAAACGATGATAAGTAGAGTTGGGCTATGAGATATTCTACTTCAGAGCCTGGATGATTTGCCAAATAACTAGCGTGGCCTTAGTTTCAGGCCATGTTCTATTAGGGACGTGTTTAGTAACGTCTCTCAGAGATCCCCTATCCATGAGCTCCATCGCGATGTTAACCTGAATCCAGATGTAACACACAATTGTGGCCACGCGAGTGACAACACTCACAAAAGCACTGTTAGGTGTAGAATAGGCTGCATACAAACGGACAAGATATTCACAACTCTGAGCTCGGAGGAGACCCTGACTTCCAAGACTACCCTTCCCAACCAGAACCAGTCGACAAACCCTCAAGTCATTCATAACTTGATCCCTCCGTTCCTTATCCTCCGTCCTGACACTCTTGATCGCTAGTAAAAGGCCTAAGACAAAAAACTAGGGCGAGTGGGAACCACGTGACGGAGTCGCACCTGATGACTTATGGACGCCTTTTATCACGATGCCAGATGTCCCCCTTCCCAGAGGCTTCTCAGAATCATCTATCTGCAAGCAGCTACTCACAGGGTACAACCCGGGCATCTGACCACATACCTCTATATCTCTCGGATCCACAATGAACGAGTGAGAGGGGTTGGCCAATCCACAAGCGCCGATACACAAACCAGTGGCTTCATGGTGCATAACACCTTCAGAGTCTCTGACAACGATCTACATCCGAGCTATTGACTGCATGCCTAAGATTGTTACACACGCCAAGTCGCTGACAAGGATTCATTCATTGGGCAATCGTCCAGCTCGGCAACAGCCGGTCGACGAGGCATTATTGTCACAAACCCACAGGGAGGCCACCAGAGGAAAAGTCAAATCTGCATCAACGCGAACTGATCACAGCAATGAGCATCTACTACGGAAAACTAGACCGAAGGCTTGAACCGATTGCAAGACTCAAAACTCGACGTTGGCTCATGAGAGCAAATTCGAGAAACCCAAAATATACCGAAAATAGTGTCGACCTCTGAACTGTAGCAGGAAGTAATAGTATCCCCAACGATCATGGGAGCTCCCGAGGGATGTCTGCCATATCACGATCGGCCAAAAGCCAGTCCGGGTCTTCTTCCCTGCTGTTCTCTCTCTGTATGGCGACCAACGGCGTTCCCTCACTAGGCGACCTGGCCGAGAACAGCAGGAACATAAACCGGATGTCATAGAGTGAAATATGAGAGAGTCATGATCGGCTCACCGGTCAGCAACGACGACGTGGAGATCCTCCTGAGTCGGCTCGTAGTCACGAAGCTCCGAGCCTCCTCTGTGGAAGGCCACCATACTGTATTGAGAGGGTCGGCCAGATTCAAGATCCGTCTGATTCCTTCGACGAAGCCGCTCGCGTCGTAACAATTTACGGCCCTAACAAAGGGCGATCTGATCTGTCTATATATAAGAGTGTAAATACCTCCTCCACTGTCGACGCATCTGCACGAAGGCCACTGCCTTCAAATTCGAATGTTGACGACAGACCAAGAGCTCGAACGAGGCGATGGTACGTGTTAGTGAGCTGGAGTAGTGAAAAGACCTACCAGTCATCACAGTGGTATAGTCGATACCCAAAGACTTACCAAAACTAGCAAAGGGAAGTAGATGACAAATTCTTGGCCTATTACTGGAGCCGTGGATATCGGAGTTCCGAACATCCGACCTGACAGAGATTCCTTGATTCACACCGACAATTGCGACGCTAAACTATGATACTCACCGAAGGACGTGGAGGAATCCAAAATCCGCAATAGCTTGAGGTAATTGTACGCAAGTGGGAAGCCCAGTCGAGTCATCATCGAGGCACACCACAGCAGAGATGCACTGAGGAAGCACACGTTCTAATACAAGCAGACGGGAACAAGACAATGAATGTAGGAGAACAACAGACTCGACCAGTTTGGTGAATTCATAAGGAGAGATGAACTCCAGTACTGGGTGAATGAATAACTGCCGTGATATACGGAACCGACTCGCGAAGTGGTCAAGACTACCTATCGGTATGATTGTGTGTATAAAGACCATACGTCCCAGCAACCTTGATCCGAAACAGCGACCAAAAGCAACAACCGGCAACATACAGCAAAGGTAAGCCAACAGCGAACTGGCCCAATGCTGCGGCGTATACCGGCGACACATAGCCATCTGAAGACTGACTCTCCGTCAGGATGGTACATGAACTAATGCACCTTTCTGAATGATATCGAGCAGCCACAAAAGTTCATCGTATCCAAGGGCGAGCAAACTGGACCACTTTGAGCCCCAGAACATGGTAGCCTAAAAGGAAGACTATTCTATTAGTGATAAAGGGTATCATAGTAGCAGCCTGGATCGTATCTCACCTGTCCAACTATTATACCAATGCTTAGAATCGCACAGAATAGTGCGGTGATACGCGTGAGGTATGGGAGTAGAGAATGCCTCGCGGACACCTACAACGAATATTCTACTACAGTGGACAGTGCTGCAAAAAATGTTCGCTTTCCTCAGCTGAGCTCCAAATCCACTAATCATAGGATTTTATATACGAATTGGGAGAATATATACGATTAGTGTACAGAAAGTAACAAGGATTTTCCAAATTTTCCTCAGAGATTTCATATTGTCACCAACACGTGTGGTTGACCATGCGCAAATAATCACCACACTGAGAGTGGATACATCCCTATTCACGGGCTATGACGGAAAGGTATTCGCTTCCATCTCGCCACCAACTTCAATATGAAGTAAGCGGCTTCACTGTGAAGTTTTGGTTGACAGTGGAGCAAGACTTTCCGTGCTATAATGCCTTACGATCGTGTCTCGCAGTCTTTGTGATGCATTCCTTTGCGAAGGTACAGGGATATTCTCATTTGCTAAACGGTCCTCCAAAGCCCATCCTGTCTCTATCAAGTCCGACCACCTATAATGAAGTTTTAGGGAAGAGAAAGATGCGAGCATACTACCTATGCTGACTACGCCTCGCCGTGGCCAAGGCACTGGACAATTCCAAATCTTCCTTGGAAGGGATAGGCCTCACAAGGGACAGGTTCGTTGGTATCAATGGCGTGCCTACATCACCCTTCCCCAGAGTTAGCTGAAGAGATCTACGTCACCTTCAGTGTCTCCCTCTAGACATTCGGAAACAACTTCGTCCCGTCCATCATAGAAATTCACAGCAATGCCCAAAAACTCTCCCGCTTCTCGTATCTACTCCGGATGCCATAGTGACAGACTCGTGCGAAAGCATATGTCTGGCGCCTATTGCTCCGTCACTACAAGCTGCTTAGAAGCTCCCTGTCCTGATTCGCGCTCTTGATCACGGTAAAGGTTGAAGACGTCCATGAGGTCGAACTTCGCCGAAAGCCGTGCCTGCAGGGCACAATAGCAAGAACTTCATCGCATTTTACAAGGCAGTAAATTTACTATGCCGAACTCCTGTCGAAGACTCCTCTCGCAGAGCACTTCCGGTTTATTCTTCAACATACCTAGTGTTTACTCATGCTCCCTTTATTACATCTTCTGCCGATACCACCTGAGCGTAGATAGCTTCCATATGGCGTTTGTCATATGACAACACATGCAACCACTGCGGTACAGCCACTAGACCATACCCCAACAGCAGAGTGACCAATACCAGACCCCATGCATTGGAAGCAGCATAGATGAATCCAAGTATACCTTGCAGACCAAGCCGCTGCATGTACCACAAGTAAGCCAGGATCAACAGTCCAGCACAGGCGTATGCTAGGTACCAAATAGCATTGTTGCGGAGAGCCTTCTTTATAGAGTGGACGGATTCGTATTCCAACATGATAGGGTATGCTATCCAGCATAGGGTGAACGAGATCCAATAGACGCTAGTCCAGGACTCAGAAAGGATTTCTGTATGCTCGTTAGTTCTCGAAAAGCATATATCGTACGGCAACAATATGAAGGTAGTTACCGCGAGAGCCATACCGCAGTACACCATCACAAACTGGAACAAGCTGGTATCCTTACTTGCGTAGCTGGCTAGAGTCTTTAGACCCCACAATAAGGATACTACCAGTGTGCCGACAGGGAGCACCAACGACTCTTCTATCGCCATCACCACAAATTGAAAATCATACTGAATAGACAGGGGGAATCGGCACATCTCTTCTTACTTCCCCCGATTTTACCCCATACCCGCCAAGTAAAAAGTTCGGGGGACAGTTGTAAGCGCCTTGCGATACGACAATACATTATGCAACGCAACGGAAGATCAACTCAACCACATTCTGGCTACATCGCTCCGCTCTTTTGTCGCGTCACGTTGTCACTTTTTTCAATTTGTGTTGGTCCCAAAATTATGGATCCCAGAGCTGGCCGTAGTGGTGTGTTCTTAATACGTAAGAGTATTGTATGAACTTACCAAGTTCATTGGGGAAATGGCGCGGTAATCTCAGCAAGACCTGGTTTTGGGTCTATACCTAGTTTGGCCTGGTAATTCGCTTACCGAGTTATTTTTGTGTATCTTTGAAAACGTATTAAAGGTGTGGTTTGTTAACCTTGATGCCGTTCGGGTTGTGGTCCAAATCCAGCTCTGGTGTCTCTTCGGCATCCTCTTCAAGCGGCTCCCAACATCACCATCGACATCATGCATCGAAAACGCATAGACATGAACGGTCAAAGAGCTACTCTGCCTCTGCATCCAGTTCAGAAGAAGCTGCCGGGAAGGTTAAGGCTGTAGTTGAGAGCAGTGAGCATGAGGATGCCGAAGACGATGCAGTCCTAGCCAGAATTGATCCAAAGGCCAAGGCAGGAAGTAAGTGGAAGAATATCAATGGAACGAATGACAACCGAATCGAATCAGTTTCGAGTATAGTAGTCACCTTCGTATACATTTTCATTGGGAGGGAGGATAGTGTTATTGCATCAGGCACATTAGTTGACTCAGACTCGGACGGATGCTATGAGAAGGAGTACCTCGACTCATTGAAGCACAAGTCCAATCGCGCCAGTAAGAGGGCTCCCTTTAGCTGGCACTACAAGCAATTGGGGCTCAGGCTATGTGGGTGGCGCGGCGACAGGTGTAGCAGCTGCAGTTGGAACATTCGTGGTACTAACGGGCATCCCATCACGTCGCATTTCATTCTGCTCCTTCTACCCTGCCTGTTCTTGAATGCCCCATCTCGTTATAATGATAGCAATAGCAATGGCTTGATAGTTATAACAATGGATGATGCCGCATCATCAAATAGTCACCTGATGCTGTTAGGATTGAGCTCTTGGTTGTATAAGTCTAATAGGTATTCGCATCACCTCTGGCCGTAGCCGGAGCCGCTGCTGTTGGCGCTGGTGGAGCATGGAAGTTGCTCCGAGACAAGGGAAAACGAGAAGTCAAAGCGGTAGTTATTGACTATCATCTCTCTATTCAGCACATCTCGCTATTGCTTGACCTCTCTGTGGGGGTCCATCGTCAATGACGATTGGTCATGCCTGGATTACTTCAGGCAGAAGGCACTATGAAGTCAGGGGATCATTCGGCTGATGTTACGCAGACCATGTTGGGGGCCTCTGGCACCGACTTGCCGTCCAAGAGTAATACGCCGTATTGTCTTCCATGTCTTAGCATTGCTATCTGATTCATCTCCTTGTGATCTAACCGAACTCATGTCTCATCAGGTTACTTCACGATTTCTGGGAAATCAGCGACCGAGCTCGATGAGTTTCTCGCTGGTGGAAAACCTAGTATTACCAGGAGGATAGATCTGTCATCATTGTTACGACGTCCTCAGGTCTAAAGAGACTCAAATTTCTTGTGTCATGGGCACGGCTGCAAGTGGAGGACTCCTTGCCAAGCATGGAGATGGCTCGTAAGATTCGGACTCGACTTTCGCTATATCAAAGTCGAATCCTTTTACAGTTAACTCTGGAGACAGTGCACGGATATCTTGGCTCAATCGTAGCCATCTTGGCTCAAGATCTCAGTTGATCCTTTGATCTCTGCATCTCTCCCCCAACATGTCTGTGAGTCCGACCGACATCGCCAGCCTCCGTCAGCAGATCGCCGACCTCGCGAATATTATGTCTTCAAAACAAGACGTCCAAGTGATGAAAGGCTCAGATGGAAATGTCTTGGGCATCCAGGACTGCTTGGTCTTGATTGAACGAAAAATAAAAGCCCTAGAAGATAAGACGAATATGAGTCTGTCAGCCCTGAATGCCAAGATCGAGCACACAAACGAACGGGTTGGTACTATCGATGCAAGAATGTCCGACTACGTGTCAAAGCTCAATGACAAGATCGATAACCAATCACAGATGATGAAGGATATGTACAGTCTGATCTCGAACATGAACAAACGTGGGGAAAACCAGGTAGGGAGATATGAGGAGACAACGAGCGTTCTGCCGAAACCTCGTGAGAGAGTACCTGCCCCCGTACCATCGACACAGTGGTCCTACACACAATTCGACTACAAAAATAATGCTAAAGTAGTGATATTTGGTGTCCCGGAGGTTGATACGACGACAGAAAAGGAAGATGGGACTCCGATATTAAAACCAACAGTCAAAGAACAAGTGGAGAGGGCACTGACTCGAGCTGGAGCAAGATGTGCTACTGATTCAATGCGTACAGCCAAGAGGCTCGGAGCGTACCGGTCTGATAGAGATTTGGAATCTAGGCCGAGGCCAATCTGCATACAATTCGCACAGCCAGATGTGGCAAGTGAATTTGTGAAGGCTAATGGTGTGAACCTCAGGAAGCAAGGGCTGGGAATCAAGTGGTGGAGGCCTTATAGACCGAGAGCCAGTCAAGCTACGGAAGAGATCAGCTCCATGGCGGCCAGAATCGATGAGCTAGCGAGATTGGTGAAAAATCACACCTTATCGGCGGAAAAAGGAGTAGACGGTACCATAAGTGGTGAGGGATCGGATTTACTATATCCAGAGCAAGACTACAATATGGCAGGAATCGTGCGGCAAGAGAGAGAAGATCGAATCGGCTGTACCACACAGATAGTGAGTCTGGGATCTAGAGGTGTAGGGGGTAACGACGGGGTGTGTGCCTTTTCTGAGCATGAGCTCCGCTCGCGGGAATCTAGGTCTAATGACATCGGGCATTGCCAACTGCTAACAAAATCGCATAAGTTTCTCATTGCGACCCTGAACATACGTACGGCACGTAAAGATAGACAGATGGCGAAACTTGTGGGGCTCATCGAGAGAATGGAGTTGGATATCACCGTTGTATGTGAATCCCAAGTAGAAACCGAGAGCAGAATGGGAAGCTACAGAATCCTAAACTCCTCCAGTAAAGGAGTGAAAATTATTCTATCCGAGAGAGCCGAGAATTCAATGATAAAATGGACCGCACATCAAGATAGGATAGTATCATGCCGCTTCTTTGGGAAGTATTTCCGTACCACAGTTATTGGACTATATTGGCCCGCAAACAACCGCAACAAGCGAACAGAAGACTATGAGCGGTTTTCGCATGAACTTGATTTCGTTATATCACAAGTTCCACCGAGGGATATGTTACTCATATGTGGAGACTTCAACTGCACGGGGATCAACCGAGACCTACTCGACACACTAGCGCATACAAATGACCTCTGCATAGGTCAGTGGCATAAATTCAAACATCTGTCTACTACGCCTACCTGGAGACACCCCAATGCAGAGCTCCAGGGAAATGTCCTGGATCTGATACTCATCAGACGCCGATATGTAAACATGCTTGAGGCAATGGGCGTAAAGGATCCCCGACCTGTGGAGACAGACCACAGACTTGTCTGGGCTCGAATAGGATTGCACATATGCAGAGGATCAGGACAACGAAGTCGTGCCATGACTGAGAGGTATATCCGACGAATATGTGACAGTTCCCCTCGAAGGAAACGAATAGACCGTGAGCTGGAGAGAGCCACGGATGAGAACGACAGGATACGATCACCGGATGAAGAATGGGACGATTTCCGATCAAAACTCGAACACGCAACCAGCCAATTCGAGAAATCGAGAACAAGAACCGGATGCAGGGACGTAGTATCTCAGCATCTCAAAAGGAAAGAAAGACGATCCAGGATAACCATAGCAATAGAGGATATGACCAAGTGTCATGTGAACGACGATAAAGCACTGTGGAAAGTCATACAAGATACGTTCAAGGTGCGATCAGCAAGAGCTACTATACCCATGTCTCTCACTGTAGATAAAGTCGCAGACTATATGAGCAATATGCTATATGCCGATGGGCCAGTTGACAATGGAAGATACGGCGAAACAGACGAGCTGGCCATAACTGTCCCAAGTGAAGACCATGAGCCCGTGCCACCAGACATAAAGCTTAATGAAGTTACAGAAGCCATAAAGCGGCTTAAAAACAAGAAAAGCAGTGGCGTGGATGGATTACCGGCAGAAGTTTTCAAGATCGGGGTCGGAATGGCAAAGAGCATACAGAGGGTATGTCAAGCCTGTTTCGAAACCGAGAGACTGCCAGAACAATGGGATATCTCGAAAGTTACGCTGATCTATAAGAAGGGGAACAAAAACGAGTGCTCGAACTATCGTACTATATTAGCACAATGTGCTGCAGCAAAGATCTTCAGCATTATTATACTCGCAAGGATCTACCCCGATATTGATAGGAAGATTGATAACTCCCAAGTAGCCTTCCGCCGCGGGAGATCCGGCCTAGAAGTGATACACGCATTACAATTATTGATAGACAAGTGCAATGCATTTGAATTACCACTGACATTGACCAGTACTGATTTCAGAAAAGCCTTCGATAAAATATCTCGAGATCACGTGTATGAATCTTTGCGGTTGGCTCGGGTACATCCGAAGTACATCAGGATTGTAAAAAATTGTTATGAATCGGCAAAAGCCACAATAAGGTTGCATAAGAGAGAGCAGACAATTGAGCTCAAAAGTGGACTGCGACAAGGTGACTGCTGGAGTCCCCTACTATTTATCTGCGGTTTGGACCGTGTCCTCGGCCAAAGGATAAGGGAGTCGCAATACGGATTTCGGTTAGTCAAGGAGATACAGCCCGGACGATACACTAGACTCAGTATGAGGAAGCAGGATCTCGGACTATGTCTCAACGAGTTAAGTTTTGCAGACGACGTTACAGTACCTGCCTCCACAATCGAAGGAGCTGACCGTCAACTATCGTATCTCGAGGAGGATGGAAAAATTGCAAATCTCATGATAGCACCGGAGAAGTGCAAGAGACTGTGCGTTAACCTGGAGAGTAAGGAAGGCAGCTCGGAAAAGTCAAGGATTAAATGCACTGATAAATTGAGCATCCTCGGTGCCATAATCGATGGCAAACGGGATAATGAAACCCATATTCGTAGGCGCATGCAACTCGCGGGACAAAGAATGGCAAGGCTACAGAAAGTTTGGAACTCGCATGATGTAAGCCTGAGACAGAAGTTTATTATTCTCCGAAGTGTGGTATTCTCGATATTATTATATGCTAGCGAGTGCTTTGCCCTGAGCAAAGATGAGACGGAGAAATACTGTGCATTCTACAACAAGTGTATACGGAGGGTGTTGCATATATCGCCTTCGTCGCACACCACAAACCGCGAAATCTGGAGAAGGTCTGGTTGCCCTGATTGTCACATAGTCCTTAGAATGCGTCGCTTGCGTTGGTATGGCCACATCCTTAGAACACCCCCCGCATCTCTAGTGAACAGACTGCTGTTGTGGGATCCGGCATATCATTTGGGAGCTCAGATAAGCGGGAGAAAGCGGGAAGGTTGGATGGATCTCATAGCAGAGGATTTGAGAGTGGCGAGTCTGTCGCGAGGAGATGCTCAGGACCGAGTTCTCTGGGAGAGAAGGACTAAGGCTTTGAGACCGAGATTAAGGCTCAAAGGCACCAAGGCTACGCCTCGCCGTGGCCAAGGCACTGGACAATTCCAAATCTTCCTTGGAAGGGATAGGCCTCACAAGGGACAGGTTCGTTGGTATCAATGGTGTGCCTACATCACCCTTCCCCAGAGTTAGCTGAAGAGATCTACGTCACCTTCAGTGTCTCCCTCTAGACATTCGGAAACAACTTCGTCCCGTCCATCATAGAAATTCACAGCAATGCCCAAAAACTCTCCCGCTTCTCGTATCTACTTCGGATGCCATAGTGACAGACTCGTGCGAAAGCATATGGCTGGCGCCTATTGCTCCGTCACTACAAGCTGCTTAGAAGCTCCCTGTCCTGATTCGCGCTCTTGATCACGGTAATGGTTGAAGACGTCCATGAGGTCGAACTTCGCCGAAAGCCGTGCCTGCAGGGTACAATAGCAAGAACTTCATCGCATTCTACAAGGCAATAAATTTACTATGCCGAACTCCTGCCAAAGACTCCTCTCGCAGAGCACTTCCGGTCTATTCTTCAACATACCTAGTGCTTACACACGCTCCCTTTATTACATCTTCTGCCGATACCACCTGAGCATAGATAGCTTCCATATGGCGTTTGTCATATGACAACACATGCAACCACTGCGGTACAGCCACTAGACCATACCCCAACAGGACAGTGACCAATACCAGACCCCATGCATTGGAAGCAGCATAGATGAATCCAAGTATACCTTGCAGACCAAGCCGCTGCATGTACCACAAGTAAGCCAGGATCAACAGTCCAGCACAGGCGTATGCTAGGTACCAAATCGCATTGTTGCGGAGAGCCTTCTTTATAGAGTGGACGGATTCGTATTCCAACATGATAGGGTATGCTATCCAGCATAGGGTGAACGAGACCCAATAGACGCTAGTCCAGGACTCAGAGAGGGTTTCTGTATGCTCGTTAGTTCTCGAAAAGCATATATCGTACGGCAACAGTATGAAGGTAGTTACCGCGAGAGCCATACCGCAGTACACCATCACAAACTGGAATAAGCTGGTATCCTTACTTGCGTAGCTGGCTAGAGTCTTTAGACCCCACAATAAGGATACTACCAGTGTGCCGACAGGGAGCACCAACGACTCTTCTATCGCCATCACCACAAATTGAAAATCATACTGAATAGACAGGGGGAATCGGCACATCGCTTCTTACTTCCCTCGAATTTATCCCATACCCACCGAGTAACAAGTTCGGGGGACAGTTGAAAGTGCCTTGCGATACGATAATCCATTATGCTAGACAGCGGAAGATCAACTCAACCACATTCTGGCTACATCGCTCCGCTCTTTTGTCGCGTCACGTTGTCACTTTTTTCAATTTGTGTTGGTCCCAAAATTATGGATCCCAGAGCTGGCCATAGTGGTGTGTTATTAATACGTAAGAATGTTGTATGAACTTATCAAGCTCATCTGGGGAAATGGCGCGGTAAGCTCAGCAAGACCTGGTCTTGAGTCTATACCTAGTTTGGCCTGGTAAATCGCTTATTGAGTTATTTTTGTGTATCTTTGCAAACTTGAAGGTGTGGTTTGTTAACCTTGATGCCGTTCGGGTTGTGGTCCAAATCCAGCTCTGGTGTCTCTTCGGCATCCTCTTCAAGCGGCTCCCAACATCACCATCGACATCATGCATCGAAAACGCATCGACATGAACGGTCAAAGAGCTACTCTGCCTCTGCATCCAGTTCAGAAGAAGCTGCCGGGAAGGTTAAGACTGTAGTTGAGAGCAGTGAGCATGAGGATGCCGAAGACGATGCAGTCCTAGCCAGAATTGATCCAAAGGCCAAGACAGGAAGTAAGTGGAATAATATCAATGGAACGAACGACAGCCGAATAGAATCAGTTTCGAGTATAGTAGTCACCTTCGTATACATTTTCATTGGGAGGGAGGATAGTGTCATTGCATCAGGCACATTAGTTGACTCAGACTCGGATGGATGCTATGAGAAGGAGTACCTCGACTCATTGAAGCACAAGTCCAATCGCGCCAGTAATAGGGCTCCCTTTAGCTGGCACTACAAGCAATTCGGGGTCAGGCTATGTGGGTGGCGCGGCGACAGGTGTAGCAGCTGCAGTTGGAACATTCGTGGTACTAACGGGCATCCCATCACGTCGCATCCCATTGTGCTCCATCTCCCCTGCTCGTTCTTGAATGCCCCATCTCGTTATAATGATGGCAATAGTAATAGCTTGATAGTTATAACAATGGATGATGCCGTATCATCAAAATAATCTCCTGATGCTGTTAGGATAGAGCACTTGGTTGTATAAGTCTAATAGGTATTCGCATCACCTCTGGCCGTAGCCGGCGCTGCTGCTGTTGGCGCTGGTGGAGCATGGAAGTTGCTTCGAGACAAGGGGAAACGAGAAGTCAAAGCGGTAGTTATTGACTATCATCTCTCTATTCAGCACATCTCGCTATTGCTTGACCTCTCTTTGGTGGTTCATCGTCAATGACGATTAGTCATGCCTGGGTTATCTCAGGCAGAAGGCACTATGAAGTCGGGGGATCATTCGGCTGATGTTACGCAGACCATGTTGGGGGCCTCTGGCACCGACTTGCCGTCCAAGAGTAATACGCCGTATTGTCTTCCATGTCTTAGCATTGCTACCTGACTCATCTCCTTGTGATCTAACCGAACTCATGTCTCATCAGGTTACTTCACGATTTCAGGGAAATCAGCGACCGAGCTCGATGAGTTTCTTGCTGGTGGAAAACCTAGTATTACCAGGAGGATAGATCTGTCATCATTGATAGGACGTCCTCAGGTCTAAAGAGACTTAAATTTCTCGTGTCATGGGCACGGCTGCAAGTGGAGGACTCCTTACCAAGCATGGAGATGGCTCGTAAGATTCGTTCTTGGCTTTCGCTATATTACTGACTATTCTCTCGTCGGAATCCTTTTATGGATGTTTCTACTGCCGCAGTTAACTCTGGAGACAGTGCACGGATAAGCGCACAGTGTACTAAATTAATGACAGCATTGGATGAAGTGATAGGATCATTCTCTCCATGGGTACAGCAACAATATGTCGCGAGAGCAGAGAAGGATAAGGTGATGATGATGGTTCGTCAGCCTTATCAGGAACCGCTCTTCTCAGGGTAAAAGACATCGTGAATTTACGTTGATCTGCCTTCATGTGAGCCCATTGTACAAGTTCTTAGCACATGACTCGGTGAATAAGGTGCGACTCATCTAGCCTCTAGTACCTGCTATGTTGAGTCCTCAGGCCTTCCTTTTTTGCAATACAGAGTTTTTGCAGCAGTGGGAAAATGACGAAGTTAGCACTGAATTGATGATTCAGAGGTGAGTTAGGTCCGCATTTACAAACTGCATGTAGCTCAACCCGTAGGTGCCGCTCGACGTTCCCTACCATAGTCGAGACTGTTGGTCTCATTCGAAGTCACCCTAGTAAACGAGGTACTAGCGAGCGGCGTCCTCTCAGCATGTGTGTTCCATTCGTGGTAGGTCGTGCTGATTCGGACCTTATGACTCGTTCAGAGCAGGGCGAACATAGGATAACCGCAACGGTTTTCTGGATATCACAATTCTTGCGGAGGTAGAGCGTTCGAGGACCTACTTGCAGCTATTGTATCAATTCCAATGGTTCCAAGCAGTACCATATATTAGATCTCCATAGTGGAATAGTTATCTTACCCGAGTGCTTTTTGCCAGGTCTGATGTCCAAGAGTTCATGTCGAGTGCAATGATAAGTGGCAGCCGCGTTCTCTCACCCAGAAGACATGCTAAGAGTGGAGGTACTCATGGGTCATGCACACCTTCGCCCGATTCGTCGGTGATTCACAGTATGAAATCTATCTAGGCTCAGTCGCGAAGATTTCGAGCTCGCCACTGGTCGAGCAGTCCGGGATCAGTCAGAAGGTAGCTGATACTAAAATGGAGCCTAAGGCACCTGAAGGCTCTGAAGAAGATGAGGATGGGTCCCCTACTATAGAATTCCCGCCTATTGGTAAGTTGGGCATCCTTGGAAGTTTGCTCATCGAGACGAGGCCCTGCTTGGGTTATAGCGAAATAGGCGAACTATTGGCCATTCAATGTATCTACCCGAGAGATACAGGTGATTTTCTATCAGGCGCAGAGTTAGAGATGGACGAGGATGAGTTTTACTCAGCCTCTGAGGGTGAGTGTTCTGATAACGAGGACGATAAGGCTCTCACGAGTAGTAAAGTTCTGCGGAAAAGACTAGAGAGAGGTAGGTTGGTGGTCGCGCACCTGGGAGTGGCACGAGTCGTTTCAGTCGAAAGACGGCCGCCAAGTGGTCTGGGGTTGGAAGTGTATGGTGCGGTTACTAGGGACTCGGTCATGAACGATAAATTCCGTCCATTTCTTAGCACAGACGAGGACGCGATCAATACCTGGTAGTATGCGGGTTAAGCTCGTCGCTTGGAGGGATCTCTTCGATATTGACGGGATTGTATTGTTGATGGCAGGAACGAGTTGGACTGTACGAAGTTTAAGGTTAGAGGCCACACATATCTCAGTGATAAAGTGAAACACCCTAGCGAGCCCGCACTAATGAAAACTGGTAAGATTGGGACTTTCACGGGCTGTGCCTGATAGCTCTTGTTCTGTCCACCCTGACTGGACAATTCTCATCTACTTTCTTGTCTATGCGCTTGATGAAATCTCAAACGATGCTTCTCTTGCTAGCACAGTCGAACGGGTTACGATTCTCGCGAGGTGTGCAACTCTGATCGTGCTGCATCCGGGGGTTTGTTTCAGTGGCTTTCGAGTTGTTCTTCTGCGATGACGAAGAGGTGTTCTGCTGCTCGACAGAGCCTCACTGCAAGGCCTACTGGCTGCAACGGGATCATCCAGATCGGTAATTCTCCGAATCTAATTGAACTTTGAGATTCATTTATTGGGCAGTTTTTTCTTCACGGTCACCTGGCGTATGGCACCATTCTACTGCACGAACACCTTCATGGTCGATAAGGATGCTCCCTGGCTCCAAGCTGATACAGAGACAGTAAGCTCTGTTGTATGACTGTAGAGAACCTACTGTACACATCTTTCCTAGTCCTATGGGATCTTGATGCGGCGGTTTTTGGAGATGGACGACGAGGATCGTAATGGACGAGTTAAAGTCATACCTGCTGTTGCTGAGGGGCCATGGATTGTTAAAAAGGTGGAACTGACTGTGACCACAATGGTTAGGGGCAATCTTACCGATGTTTTCAGGCGGTTGGGCAGACTCCAGCGATTATCGGTCGGAAGCTCACAACTACCCATTTCACTGGCGACAACTACGTTGAAGTCTCAGTGGATGTTTTTTCAAGTGCTGCTGCTCGGCATATGATGTCACTGGTAGGCCGCTGATCACTCTGAGAAGCGATAGATGTGTGGTAGGTCGTTGGTGCAGCGAAGAAGTTAGTCATCGATGTTGGGTTCGTGCTGGAGGGCCATTCGGAAGTAGGATAGTTCTTCCTCCAACCTCACCATTATCACTGCTTAGGAGGAATTACCAGAGCGGTTGCTAGGTGGATTCAGGCTGCGAAAGCCCGACCTGGCTACATGTCGGAGGTTTAAGCGCTCCGCTTGTGAATCACCGAGGAACTCAACTCTCGAGTGATTCATACCAATAGCAGATGAGTTGTGATATCATTCACTCAGCAAGATTCCTCAACACGCTCATTATTTCTCCCCATCTGAAGGTTTTCGCCTGCTTCAGGATTTCACAGGCCGTTTGTTGGTGTACTTCTTGCTATTTTGGCCCTTGCTCACAGTCTCCGTTGCTGTGCTTGGGAAACTCTCAATCAAACTTGCCTTTCTCAATTCTCCTATTTGCGTTCTAGTGTCTAAGCCTGATCAGCATTCGAGCTTATTCCGGATGGACTGGGGTTTCGATGAAGTCTGAAGAGGAGGATCTTGCAGGGTCTTACATTCCACATGTCTGAACCGTCTCCCGTAGCTGACATGCATGACGCCCCTCATGAAGGGGAGGAGCCGACAGCCCCTGCAATCATCACGCAGGTACTACACAAATCACTATATGTTTACCTATGGGTTGTACTCAGGTGGAAGGTGTTTTCACGACCAAATTGCCCGAGGAATATCATATCCCTGAGGATCCTATTGTTTTGGAAGCCAATCTTTCACGTTCTGGTAGGATGATTCGGGCATTCATTTCTCCCTCCAGCAACAGAATTGTGCAGGTCTATCGGCCATGCTTAATGATCTGCTTTCATTACAAGAGCCGGCAGTCTTTGACTTCATCATCAACGGACACTTCTTGCGAACCAGCCTCGCAG